ACATAATCCTTAAACTTCATCAAGATCTTTCGAGAACTCCTTTGGGAAATCTTAAATGATACATCTCCGTAGTTTAGCAACAGATGGTCAGTTGTCCATTTATGCCTTGCAGGCCACGCATCAGCCAATCCAGTAAGCATGACCTGGGATCAACAATTTATCAAAACTTCATACTATTAAAAAGTCATCCATCGAGTATTGATAAATCACAGTTTATGAGTTCTAAGATATCCAAAATTCTTCTATGAGAAAGGGTGTTGCTTGGTCGATAGTCTACCCGAGAAACAGCAAATATGCGAGCAATTTTTTTTTAATTTATAAAATGAACACAGAAAAAGCAAAGGTATGATAGAAGTCACGGCAGTGGCACAGAAAAATTAAGAAAAATAGAAAATAAATTATAAAATTTAGAGCAAACAACATAGATCTCCTTTAAATTTTATTGAAATTACATAATTCTTTTCTCTATTTTCTAAATATTAATTTTAACCCATTTTTCTATTTTTGAGCTAAAATATCCTGTATAAAGATGTTTAACTTTATATTCTTCTTTAAAATTTATATATGTACTTGAAGTAATAGAATGTATTTTGATTAAAAATAAAATAAAATTGGATATTGGACTGAATTGTAGCATGTCTTCTGTTTCAACAGTACATGTATATTTTAAAAATAGGACAAAGACACATAACTTCAGTAAAACTTGATAATCTTTGTAATTTACTATCTAATCCTTTTAACATTGTACCGGTTTCTTCCCATCATACTCATCACGGAAGTCTTTTAGAGAGACATCGCCCCTTCTTTCCACATTTCCATTGTCCACATAAAACGTGTCCAACTTTGTATGACACCTGTATAATCTTCTATACAAATATACTGAATTAAACCCTGCAGAACGGTAGATAAGGAAAGAGTTGCGTCAATATCTGTTCTGGAGAAAATTCTTATCTAAGATGGCTTTAAGGCCATATAATATAAAAATGCCTAGAAAATAGAAGATAAACAAAGGATATCAGAACAATCACCATCAAAATGCAGAAATCCTCTGTTACATTCAATGTATTTGCCTGGCAAATTCTCACTGCAATCAAAATTCCCATGTGTTATAAATTGCATGAAATAGAAAGTAAAATGAAGCATCACACAACTCGCAGATTCATGAGACATACCGATTCAGAGCAGTTTTCTTCCAAGAGCTTTTGTACTGAAGTAAACCAGACGCTCCTTTAAGGCACAAAATCATCCATAGGGTTTCTTCATTGCACAGTATGTACATTACGCTGCATCAAGTTATGAGAAAAGCAACAGGAAATTCTGTCATACTTCCGTCAATATTCTCATAGAAAAGTAGCACGCAGGCGCAGCCAAATAGGCTACAAAAAAATAGAGACAACATGGATAGAACGCCAAATTTCCAAATTTCAGCTGTTGCACGGATTTTGTTTTTTTGAATGTTTCGAATTGCTGCTTGTAAAATTGGTCGAAGTAAAATGGTTAAAATACAAAAGCATTTGATTTACACCTGAATATGTTTCGCTCAGTCATGAGCAGTGCCTATAAAGATTAAAAGCACGTTATTTAAAGTTTTAAACTACTATAAAGATCATATAAACAGGAGAAGATAGCAAAGGGAGTTATACTGTGATACTGTGATCTTTAATCCCAAACCGACATTGGCCATTGATAAGGCAATATGACCGAAAGATGCAAATTACGTCGACACGGAACAGCAGAATCAACAGCCGCTACAAGAGAGCAGCAGAGGGAGAGATAGCAGATTCGAACTAATGATAAGCAGAGGGAGATTTAATAGTAAACCTGCTAACGCAAGCGAGGCGAGCAACATCTCGAGGAGTGAGTTCCTCTAAAATTGCGCAGAGGATTTCATCGGGGAGGACTCGAAGGTCTCCAAGAGCATCAGCTCTGCGATCTCGGAGTTCTCCCCCCGTCTGCGCCGTAGAAGGTTCCATCAAAGTCGTTTGCAGATGATAACGCAAATGAAAAATCCCATCCAAAATCACCCGCTCTGTTGTTGTCGTCTCCAATTCAGAAGTCTAGCGAAAGAGCGAGGTACAAGTACAGGGGCACGGATACGCGGAAGAATACCGTGTGCGCGGCATTCGCACGCCACATCTGCTTTAGCTCTTATATATGTTTTCGAATATTGTTACATTTCCCTTTTTTTTTTTTTGGTCTCCTTCCCTTGCGCCGGTAATCTACTTTTGGGGGGGAAAAAAAAAGCAAAGACGCGGTAAATCTCGTCCCACGCATCCATACTGTGGGGAAGAACATGCTGGTTAAAAAAACATAAGCACTTACATTTTATTTTTTTAATACTTTTAATTTAAGTTCTAATTATTAAGAAGTTGTTTTATATCTGTAAAAAAGATCTTATAATTAGTATCAAGATATTATAGAGCTTATTGAAAATAATAAATTAAGAAAGTTGTTAAGTTAGTTATTGTCTTATAATATGAGTTAATTTAGTCTAATTAAACTTGTTTATAATCTGTAAACAAGATCTATAATTAGGATCAGAGATATTATAAGAGCTAGTTGAATAATTTAAATAAATTAAGAAAGTTCGTTAAGTTAGTTATTTGTAACAAATATGAGTTGAATTTTCTAAAATACTCTTGTTAATCATATACTACCTACGATCTTAATTATAAGAGTTTGTTGACTAATCTAAGGAGATTAAAGAAAAAATTAAATTAGTTATTTGTAATAAATATGTGATCCTCCGGTCCTTAATATAAGACCCATTTAACTAATTTGATTAGATTAAGGAAGTTAGGTAAGTTAGTTAATTATAAGAAAAGTGACACATTTTTCCTAAAATACCATAATCATCTTTTTTAATACCCCCTCTCCCTCTTCTATTTGATTATGGTTGAGGGAGTATCTATAGGGGTAATTTAGAGAAAATTGATAAATATGAGAAATTGGTCTTATATTTAGGACCAAAACCAACTCAAGAATTGGGTCCTATATTAAAGACCGGAGGAGTATTGTTTTTCATAAAATATTCTTACTAATCAAATGTATTGGCTAAAACTATCATTGTTAGAAGGACTATTTAAAAAAAATGCATAAATATAAGAGACAAAGTGAATTAGAGTCTTATATTTAGGATCAAAATAAAAGTCAAATAGGGTATTACATTAAAGATCGGAGGTAGTATATTAGTTAGAACTACTAATTGATAGGATATTTAACTTATACAACTACTACAGAGATTGCTTTGGAAAAATAGATAAATATGAAAGACAAAGTGAATTAGGATCTTATATTTAGGAATAAATTGAAAGTCAAACTAACTCTTATATCAAGTATCAAATGTAGTATAATTTAAACTTATCAAGATGCAACTGCACCACAAAACTATACAACCGATTGTCCGTTTCCTTGTTAACAGAAAGTAAACTATAAATTTATCCGGAGCATTATCCTATTTGCAGCAGAAGCAGCACTTCAATTTTTCCCCGGCTAGAGCCCTATATGCAAAACAGGAAATGTCTGGATAACTTAGGCTTCAAGAAGTAACAACTCATTACAAAGCAGTTTCATTAACTCAGACAACATTTATAAATATATACATAAATTACTGGCTAACAAAATATTGATAAATGATGATAACAATATTTGATCTAGTTGTTTGTTATCAGTTATTTTTTCACCCACTACCAATTTTTATTGGCTATCCATCGAAATGTTTCTCTTCTAGTGTACTCTGATATACACACATTCTTATTTGTTCATTCACCAAAAAACCTCATCGTTGAATTGTTCTTGCCGGTCATGCATTCACCCTTTTGGTTGGAGGGGAGGGTAGGGGTGAAAAAATGAGTCCTTCCTCCCATTTGGTTAAAATTTTAGAAGGGAAGAGAGCCAAAATGTCTCATTCCTCCTTCTATTTTAACTCCCCTCCAAATTGCTAAAGTTTTAGACCATTAGACCCTTATAGTTTTTTTTAATATTCCACTACTACCTATAAAATATATTATTATAATATTTATTTCAAATAAAAAATATATTATCCTGAGTAAAAAATAAAAATTAAAATTATTATAATTAAAAAATATATTATAAAAATTATTTAAAATAAAAAATTATAATATTATAAAATTAATTGTTTTTTATAAATATATTACTCCTCCGGTCCTTAATATAGGACCCAATTGGTGAGTTGGTTTTGGTCCTAAATATAAGACCCATTTCTCATATTTATCAATTTTCTCTAAATTACCCCTATAGATACTCCCTCAATCATAATCAAGTGTAGAAGGGGAGGGGGTATTAAGAAAGATATTATGGTGTTTTAGGAAAAACATGTCACATTTTTATAATTAACTAACTTACCTAACTTCCTTAATCTAATCAAATTAGTTAAATGGGTCTTATATTAAGGACCGGAGGAGTATTTATTAATATATTTTAAAGCTGAAAAAAAAAGATAACTTAAAGAGAATAAAATTTTATTTTTCTTAGAGCGTGTAAATTTGTTAATTTAATTATTTTTAAATATATTATATATTAATTAGAATAAAAATTACTCTACCAATTTTTTAATACACATATTAACATGATAAGACTAACTTTTATATAATTATATAATTTAAATTAAGATGTAAATTAATTTATATAATATATCAATAAAAAATAAAACCAACATGTAAGAATAAAATATAAATTAATTATTACTATCCCTCCCCTCTCCTCCTTGAACCAAACAAGAGATCATTAAATATCCTCTCTTCTCTTCTTTTTTAATCAAACCAAACAAGATAAGGATAAAACCTCCCTTCCCCTCAAACCAAACATGCCCTTAGAGTATACTCGTGCATCCGCAGAAATCGAGACGACGTGACTCGGGGACCTACTCTGGCCAGTCAAATGGGGCCGTCTCATGCATTCACCATTCATCAGTACTGTGTACTAAGGAGGAGGAATTGCAGAGAAGTGCCAAAGCACAAGTTCATTAAGATAAAATATTCAATTAAATATGACGGAAGGAAAAAGAACAAAGGTATTGTGTGGTTCCCAAAGGCAAACAAGCCCTACTGGGAGCCGAGAGGCTTTTGCGATCTCATCCTGCTCTTCCTAAGCCGTTCGGCGATGATGAAGGCAAGCTCAAGAGCCTGAGAAGCGTTGAGCCTAGGGTCACAGTGTGTGTGATAACGGGAGTTGAGGTCGTCAAAGGTGACCGTCCTTGACCCACCGATGCACTCCGTCACATTCTGACCCGTCATCTCTAGATGAACTCCTCCTGCGTGGCTTCCTTCTTGTTCGTGCACATCAAAGAATGCTCTCACCTCCGCCTGCCCAATCAACTTAACATTATCAGAAATCAACTTTCTACTAATAATATATTTCACATGCCACTCACCACCAATTATCGCTATTTGGTAGGCTAGACGTCAAAGGTGACCGTCCTTGACCCACCGATGCACTCCGTCACATTCTGACCCGTCATCTCTAGATGAACTCCTCCTGCGTGGCTTCCTTCTTGTTCGTGCACATCAAAGAATGCTCTCACCTCCGCCTGCCCAATCAACTTAACATTATCAGAAATCAACTTTCTACTAATAATATATTTCACATGCCACTCACCACCAATTATCGCTATTTGGTAGGCTAGACTTGTTTATGTCTCTTTCTACAAGTTGGATATATTCACAACTATAAAGGTCATAAATGTCTAATCGCACCAACCGACAAAGAAACGCAATGACATTTCTTATTTCCTATTGATGCAATAACAAGCTGGTGGACTTGATTACATCACTTCCGTAAAATTAGAGGACCAATTCCTACCTACCACGGTTTCTAATTTATATAGCCTTTACAATTAGTAGGTGACAGCACACCATTTAGGACCACAGCTCAAGAAGAGAAGTGAAAGTTAAAACCAAAAAACTCTGTTGCAAAGCTTTTAGCGAAGGACTCTGTTACAAAATATTGTTGCAGTTAAGTCCTTGCAAAATTAATCATCGCACAGACAGTCCCTGAATGTAATTTTCCCCAAGAGATAACCTTAAAAACATCTACGGCAGACTGCATCGTTGTTATAAATCGTACTTATAGCCAAATATTCGAAACCATTTCCAACACAAACACTTCGTCAATTACAGTCATCGCGTATGCCTTATATCCCAACCTTTCCTTTTATGGATTCTCCTTCACTTAGAAATTCTCAAAAGCATACTATTTCTCCAAAGGTTATGGCTAGCAAATGATCCTATCTATTCCATATTGGGGAGACGAAAAAAACCAGCATCTAATTTTAATCCAGCCATTCTAATCTGTATTTCCAAAAAAGACTTCATTGTCACATATGGACACTCAAGAGCAAAAGAAAAATTACTAGAATCATACCCTGATGGCATCAAAGGGGCGGGTTTTAAGACCACAAGGAGCCTTGATGGTGTTTCCATGCATTGGATCGGTGATCCATGTGACAATTTGCCCAGCTCTGCGAACTGCCCTGATTAGATGTGGAAGCTTCACTCTCATATTTTCAGCTCCCATCCTTGTGATCACAGTTATTCTTCCTGGTTTATTTTGAGGATTCAAAATCTCAATGAGCTTAATAAGCTCATTTGGATCCATCTTATCACTTACCTGTAATATTAAAGCAAAGTTAGGAGTCATTCTTGATTTCAATAGTAATTGAGCAAATCATGAAGCTGCGTGCTTTGATGTGAAGAAATGAAAATGAGGCGCAGGAAATCATTTCACCACCTTCTCATTAAAAGCATTTAAAGAATCATGTTCTAACCTTAATCCCTAGAGGATTGGCAACTCCTCTTAGAAACTCAACATGGGCACCATCCAACTGCCTTGTCCGTTCCCCAACCCAAAGCATATGGGCGGAGCAGTCATAGTAGAGTCCGGAAGTGGAATCCAACCTAGTGAGTGATTGCTCATATGGCAATAACAAGCATTCATGAGAAGTCCAGAATTCTGTTGTTTTCATTATAGGATGGTCCACAGTCAGCCCAGCTGCAGCCATGAATCCAAGAGCCTCATCAACTCGGTGAGCGAGCTCTCGGTACCTGCCACGCCAAGACCAGAGTTAGCTTACTTCAAGCTACACATTTAATCATTATATCAACAAAGCGAGACTACATAAAATATATTCATAGTCGCCGAATAAAAAAGTTTACCGACCTATTAACTATATCATTTGTTTTTAAGGATTTCAATCCGGTACATTCCATAAACCAGCAAAACTCTTTAAAAACATCCATTTTCATCCAATAACGTCAAATAATTTTATATAAGTATTTTTTCACAAATGAGATAAAAATCAACAAATAAAAGAATAAAAAATGAACTCGAAGAATTGCATATGAATATAGCTTTTCTAAAACAGCAATCAGCGATATTTAAAACCGCCCAAATCATATAACCATGGGCTTAATAAATAACATGATCTAAATGCTATCAAAACGTAGCTTTTATCTTACTCCATTTGTAAGCCTACAGCCCTAATAAAGTTATATAAATGCAAAATTTAGTTTCTATGGCCGCCAACCAGCAATATCTCTGCTTTTACCAGATTTTCAACAGAATCCAATTAATTTTTTTATCTACGGTTAGCAATCATGACAGTTTAAAACAGTAAATCTTTTAGGAGTTCTTAATATTCTTTTCGCTTATCGAATATAACGTGTAAGTTCATCTCCTGCAAAGGAAAAAAAACCCGGGGGATTCAACATACGCAATAAGCCAATCTCGATGTTTTACAACCGAAACAGGTGGAAAAGTTGAGGGTTAACGAGGATAATGTGTTGGCGATGGAAAGATAATAAAACATAAATTTGTCCTCTTTAGATGCCCAAAAACAGAAGCCTGACACTAACTGATTGTCTTCACTTTGCATCGGACAATCGGTTCTCTTTCCAAAAAGTTGAAAATAACAAAAATACTAATTCCAGAGAAAATGATCGTGATATAGAAATTGCACGAAGATGAAGCCAAATCAAGTTTGAATTTATATATACCTGTCTCCCTGCTCGCTGTGCTCTGCGAAGTCCAAATTCCATTGAGTGACCCTTTGCATAGCAGCATACCCTCCGGTGGCAAAAGCTCTAAGAAGGTTGAGGGTGGCTGCCGATTGACAGTACGCTCTAATCATCCTTTGTGGATCCGGAATTCTTGACTTCTCATCAAAAGAATCTCCGTTCACATTATCTCCTCGGTAACTTGGCAGCTTCACGCCGTTTTTCTCCTCGAACGGGTCCGATCTGGGTTTTGCAAATTGTCCCGCCATCCTTCCCACCTATTGGAAGATAGGCCAGATTTACAGCTCGATTCATCTTAATTTCACTCAATTTTCTTATAGGCAATAGAAATAAAAAGGGAAAATCAGGAGAAAACAAGGGACCTTAATGACGGGCATTTGGCCTCCGAACATCATAACAACGCTCATCTGGAGAAGAATTCTGAATGTGTCACGAATATTATTGGCATTGAATTCCTTGAAGCTCTCGGCACAATCTCCGCCCATCAGGAGAAAAGCATTTCCCATGGAAGCCTCGACCAGACGTTCCTCCAGGCTCCTGGCCTCCCCGGCAAACACGATAGGAGGGAACGCGTCGATAGTCCGAAGCACCGATTCCAGCTCCTCTTTATTCGGGTATTCAGGATTTGTTGGGAATGAGAGAGTGGTAGGGGCGACGGCCATTGTAGTTCTAGTTGATGCTGCTATAATGGTACCTGCTGACAGGATCTGCAAAAGAGAGAGGCAGTGGGAGGTACCTGGAGAAAAATGAGATGGGAAAGGGAAGGATTTTATAAGAAGGGTTCTGGCCTGAAGAGCTCTGAGGGTTCCCGGGTGGGTTGGGTGATAGTGTTGGGCAGCAAAGACGACGAGGCGGAGTTGGAGTTGGTGGGCAGAGAAAGGGCATTTTAGTCAGCTCAACAAGGTAAACACGTCACGTGTAGTTTAATTTCCGAGAAGGCGAACAAGTCAACTTGCTTTATTTGTTTGCCCCGGACTGTCCTCAGTCCTCACCTACCAAATGCTAGTCCCCTCAATTCGCAGGGACGGCTCCGCCCATTTTTCCTTCGCGTTTTTGCTAATAATTTCTTTTAACTATTTTTACTTATTTTTTCTATCTTTAATATAAGACTTATTTAATTAATTTAATTAGATTAAAAAAATTAAATAAGTTAGTTAATTATAAAAAATGATACATTTTTTTTAAAAATATCATAATCATCTTTTTTAATACCCCTCTCTCTTTTCTATTTGATCGTGATTGAGGGACTATCTATAGGGGTAACTTAGAGAAAATTGATAAATATGATAAATAGAGCTTATATTTAGAACTAAAACTAACTCAAAAATTGAGTCTTATATTAAGAACCGAAAAAGTATTGTCGATTTAAATATAAAATTATCACAAATTCGTCGTTAACATCAATGTCGATATTAATATCATAGATGTTAGATAAAATATAACAAACCCTTTTGTAATACCGCTCAGGTTTTCAAATCTTGTAGCCATGTGTCCTTTTTTTATATTTTGCTTTAGATTTAGATGGAAAGCAATTCATGCTGAATTTCATTAGGAATATTTTTTCGATCAAAATTAAGAATATCATATCATGGTCAAGTTCAAGGATGGCAGCAAAACAACAGTTGATTGATAAAAATATAGCAAATTAGATAACATTTTTACAAACCTTAAACAATTGCTAACAGCTTGGCCAAAAACATGAATACATGATTGCTAACAGATTAGTTTAATAATATCGAGCCCTGCCAAGTCTTACACAGAAAAATTTTCTTGGAAGGTTTCCTTAACGCAAGCTGCAACAACTCTACATTAAAAAAAAAAAAAAACAACAAGTGTTGGTTTAAGTGAAAGGAACTTAGATAATTTAAAACATCATGTCCTGGATTCAATTTTTGAATCTGTATGTATGGAACAAATACTGTGGAAAGAGTTACCGTACGACTTGATAGTACTCTGAGATATTAGTTTCTCATCATTTAGGTAAGAGGATACTCTTGACAACTAAAAAAAACTCTTCATTAACAGATATAAGGGGAGCACAAGGAGTTTTGTCAGTGACAGTTTTCAATAGGCTAGTCTCGTCTTCAGTACGTTGATAAAAAGCCTCAGAATCTCTTTAAAATCATTTCAATTTAAAAAATTACTAATTTTATTTTCAAAAAATTGTTATTTTTCAAAAAATTGACAATCGCGCCATTAATAATAAATGGATAATACAGTAACACTGCTCACTCGTTATGATATACTCATATTGTTCATTTTAAAATTTTCATAAGATTATACAGAGTTGTTTCTCTCTTTAAAATACAGAGCGAGGTGTTCTGCGAATTTGAATATAAAAATACGCTTATGTATTTACACGAATAAATTGAAAATAATAACAGATTTAGTTTTTTTTTGTGAGGTGATAGATTTAATTCTTGAACACACGAGAATAAAGGATAAATATTAGACTTTGCTGTTTTTCTTCTGCAAAATGATCCAAAAATAACATTGGAATTTCAAAAATAACGATGCTAACATGTCAGGATCTTTATAGGAAGGATAGGTAGCATTACCTTTTGACATTTTGAAATTCCAGTGATATTTTTGACGTTATCTTTCTTTTCTTTTTTTGTGCCGGCAATATTAGATTTTGTTGTGACAACAAAATTAATAGCCAGAATAAAATTGTTGTATTTGTAATTTATGTTAATAGATAACATATATCCGAAAATAAAAATATTTCCCATTTAGTATGATTAATATTACCTCTAATCTTAATTATAAAACCTTATTTATAATATATAAATAAAATTTTATAATTAGAGGCCAAGTATCAGTTTTGCTAAAAAAACGCATCATATCAGAGTTTTTTTTTTTTAAATAAAAAAGGAGCGAACCGAGTAGCATCAGATTTTTGTTTTTATCGTGTGGCAGGTGGCACCCATGCAGCGAGAGCGAGGTGACTCACCTGCTGCTTCGTCACGGACGATCGAGTTGGCTACAACAGATCCCAGCTAAGCTTCATTCTACTTTTATTTCTGTTTTTGGCCGTGATTTTGTTTCTCCCGATGTTAAGAGTCCGATTTCTGTCTATGCTGTAAGGGGTATTTGGAATAGTATTCAAAAATTGATTTTATAAAATTCAAGATAAATTTCTTAGATCAGTTTTATGTTATCTTTTATGAAACCAATTACCTTTATAATAAGTTTGGAATAATTTATAAGTAATTTTTTAATTATAATTTACAAAATATAAAATGAGTTTTGTTTTGGTAACGGAAGACCTTGGGTGATAAATAACTTTTGATTACTTCATCAAGATAAAATGTGATCATTAGGTTGCTGATTTTTTTTTAATAATAATAAACAAGTCAGTCATATTTAATGACATAAATTAAATATAGAAATTATAAAATCTGCGACTAATGATATTTTTAAGTAAATATAAACAAATGTTTTAAGATAATATAATATAATTAATATTCTATTTAGAGATGCTTTAACTGCGTCTGCAGGGAGAAGGTTGCTGTCTTGTTGTTGATGGTTTCTGTGGTGATCAGTCTGTATTCCATCAGATCTGTAGTTATTTTCTTCTTTTTGAAGGGCGGGAGATTTCTTCCCATGGCTTCCCATGTGCTGAGATTTTTTTATCGGCCAAGAGGAATGCCTTTCAATTAATTTTGGTCACGATGACGCATCAAATGAAAATAACTTCATTTTTCACGTAACCTCAATCAATTTTAAACCGTCCCGGGGCTTGTTTGAAACTCTATTAAATACTGATTTCTAAACAAGTTTACGTAAGCTGAGATAAAATTTTCTTTACATACTTATCTTATATTTCGTAAATCATGTTAAAATAATTATTTATAAATCACTTCAAACAAGCCCTTAGTGTCATAATGCTCCCTAAACTAATTCATTTAATTTTAACTTATTTAGTCTAATCTATTTATTTAACTTATAAATTCATATCTAATATTGTGTATAAGTATTTTAAGAATATTATGTAACACTTACCATGATTAACTAATTTATTTCATTTATTTAATCTAATCTAGATTGATTAAATATCTCTTATATTAATAATGAGAGGAGGTATGAAAGATTAACTTCGCAAGTGGCAAGGGATTCGTGCGAGTATCTTCTTTGGAATTTCCAATCAATCCCCAACTCAAAATTCAAAAGGCTAATTATTTTGTTTTGTTTGCTGTTTGTTAGAAATAATAATTAATATAATTTTTCATCTCTCAAATTTACTCTCATTTTGATCATAACTACTCAAGTTTCAAATAATAAGTTTTGATCTACCATAAAGTAAAATTGTGCAAATTTTTATTATATCATGTAAACCAATGTTTTAAATGAAAAAAAAATCCTTAACAGATCATAACTAAAATAAAAATAAATTTAAGAGACAAAAAAATTATAGTAAGCTTAGAAAAATAATGAATGGTCTGTGTGAATTCGCATAAATTTTAATACTCCTCCGGTCCTAATTATAAGACCCAATTGACTTATTTGAGGAGATTAAGGAAGTAAGTTAAGTTGGTTATTTATAATAAATAAGTGTTGTTATTCCTAAAATATCTTTGCTAATCAAGTATATTGGCTAAAACTATCATTATTAGAAGGATTATCTTGGAAAAAATGCATAAATATAAGAGAGAAAATGGATTGAGTCTTATAATTAGGACCAAATAAAAAGTCAAATTGGATCTTATAATAAGGACCGGAGGAGTAATTTATATGGTCACGAATCACGAATGATACTTGTGAATGACGAATCGCTCACCTTCCATGCGCTAAAAATTTGAACATGCTCGGGGAATAGACGGACAATGTATAAACAAAATATGACAATATATGGAAGTAATTGTTCAAAAGAGAAGAGAAGGACCTTACAAAGAACGAGAATCTCTAAAAATCAAAGCAAGTAATAGACACATGTAGTTGGGAAAAAACACGTGGCTAGAGTTTTGCAGCACCGAGTGTGAAGTGAGAGTTAAGAAACCCCCCCCCCCCTCGCGGGTGGATAAAGGTCTGATCTGCACAGAGGGCGATTGGCGGGACACGCAGTTCCTTATTCTTTGTCCTCATATTTTATTTGAAGCGTTCTTCCAGTGTAATTGCAACTGCAATATCTATGGGCAACATGTGCTGAGTTAATCATCCGATATCCAATAATTCCAATTCAGTCACTCCCGATAGGGCTCTCTGAAAGATGAATATTTTGCTCCGTAAAATATCTTGACATGCAGCCCGCTGCGGCGAGGAATAAAGAAGACATTATAAGACGAAATTAAAAAGGCAAAGTAATAATTAAATCTAATTTTAATATTTGTAACTGCATGCTTACCATGTATGAACGCGCTTTCTTTTGGTTAAAAAATGCTCAATACGGTGCGCGTGTATGATGCGAGGAATGGTATCAATTATGATGGGATTTGAGTAGAATTAAAAATTCAGCGAGGTCTGTGTTTGACTCCGGCGGTGGGGGAAAAGAGAGGAGGGCCTGGGTGTTGGAGGGGGTTGACACGTGCAACAAAAGGAAGATCATAATGACTCCGAATGACTGAAATACCCCTTCTCTCACGAGTCCGAGTCATCCTCGTCCTCGTCCACCTACCCCCGTCCCACCACTCCTAACAAACCCTGTTTGAATTCCGTTTACCTACCAAACCCCGCGATCAGCCGAGTGTGGCCCTATTCTCCGTTAACTCGACGTCTCAACTCGGCCTCACCTACCCAGCCCCATGGCACATGTAACTTGTGGGCTGTGAGTATTCCACAAACTCCGCTGCCGCAAAACTCGCAGACTTCACTTTAGCAACACAGTTGAAGTTGCTTTCACGACATCAGAAACAAAGCGTAGCCAAAGTCCGCATGGTTTTTTCTGGTTGTCAGGTTCAGACGAATTTTAAAAGCAGTGGGTAGGTTTGGCATGACTCGTACGTGCCAAGACTTGAGAATGCAGAGTAACGCCACCTAATCTGAATTAACTAACGTCAGCATTTGAAGCCCTCTCCTCAAACCCAATGTTTTTATTCCACCCAAGACTTTCCGAGCTCCTCTTTTATGATATAAGCTTTTGGTGCTCCCATCCTCTTCGGGCATACTTATCTCTTCAACTTATGCCACTGTTTCTGTTTTTCTCCCTTACTTACGGGTCTGCCTAACTACCTATTCTCAGGAGTCAGGACTTTAATTGCACGTCTGCATCCATTTTTCTTGTCTGAATATTTTAAGGCCGTTCAATGCTTCGAGCTTTGGCCTTTTTTATTAAAACAATCTGTCCGATGAGGAGCTGTATATCAAGCCGCGTGTACAGCGTTTTGTATTTAGTATGGCTTCGCCTCGTCAATATTTGAACTCGGGTCTTTTGTCACTGCCTCGGCAGAATCCAGATGTCCTTCTCCAGGAGTGACGATACTGCACATGAACTGAAAATGACCAGTTATTTGACTAACATTTTTTGTCACTGAAAACCCTCGTCGCATACAAAACTGGACCCGATCACGGAGACAAGACCGGATGTTTTCGCCTCTTTATCTCGGCCATCCCTGTATATTGTAATCAGGATGATAAATATTTATAAGCACGTTTGACAAAATTTCTCTTATGTTTAGGTCTTTGATTGAAAAAGTATTTATAAACCGTTCTAAACATAACCTTAACTTGTTATGAATTTGAGATGGGAAAATGAAGCCCAAATTGGCGATCAACCCAGATTCAGATAGAACAGAAAGGATCCTCTCCCTTTCCCCTTCATATGGAATATTTCATCTGTCTTCAAAGTGTCTGGTTTGATCTGATAGTAGAATACCGACGCAACATTTAGTGGGTCATTCAACAATATTTACTAACTTGATCTGATACACTAACGTTGCACTTCTATCCTTCTTTGTCGAAATACCTTAAGAAAAGAAAGTTGCCAGGCTTTTAACAAGGAACTCACAAAAGCAATTGACGACAACCTTGTTATAAAATGATTGAAAAATATACAAGGAAGAGTAATGAAGAAGACAATGGATTGCGTTGTTTTTTCCCGCTCTCAATTTGTGAATTGCGATGACCTCAATAAGTATATGTATACACATTCTGCACGTTTCTGGGTTGCAATCATCCCAATCTCCTCCACGTGATGAGCACTGACCCCTCAACAGAAACAAAGTCCCTTCCTATACTGCATTCTGATCCTCTTCGTGCAGCGACCCCTCCATAGAAAATAAAAGTTAGCGCATCTGACGCGTAATTTTTGCAAAATTGAGGGGAGCAACAGAGCAATTACCTATAAATATGGAAAGAAATTATTGTGATGCAAAATTTTCTGCAGAGGGATGGGGAGGGGTATTGGTATTTCTATGATTACTGTAAGCAGAAAATAAAACACTCACACATTACTGCCCTAATGGACACTAGTGGAGTCATAATAATGACAAAAACACTAACACCCAGAATAAAGTGTCATGCGGCGAAAGTAGGGATCATCTTGTACATAAATGTCTTGAATTTTAATTGTCATCTAACGTCATGGATGTGACGCGTGTTTTCTCTTTGATCGGCTTTTTATTACTTTGGGCCAAAAGGAAAAATTCAAGGCCAGCTAATTCAAGTCCGTATTTGGATTGCCCCCCCGGAAAAAATAAATGCATCTGTGTGTGTGTGGGTGTGCGCGGAAACTCAAGCCCCAAACAACGTAGTATTGATAATCATTTGGCATACAAGTTGGAGAGGAAAGCGAAGAATCTCGCAAACAGATCAGCAATGTATTCATAAATGTCGCTGTAAAACTGGGTCCTGAAAGCATTTGTTTCGTGGCTTCTCAAAAGAAGAGCCTCCGAGTAATTTTTATTTTGGGGGCAAATCTGAGCAACCAGAAGCAATGGGTTGTGTGTGTGTTGTGAATGGCAGAAACGAGCGGGGGTGAAGGGTAAATGCGTAAAAAGGGGCAGGTAGCGGGAGCAGGACCACAAGTTGGTGCATTATTATGGAGAAGGGGCAGAGGACAAGTTTGTATATATTCCTGCACCTCAAATCTGTTCACAGGAAGCAGACACCACCATATGCATGAAACAGAGATTAAGAGACGATTCTGCTGGCCGGTGGTCCTCTGCTCTTCGCTTCACTTTCCAAATTCCAAACCCCTCTCAGTTCCACATCACAACAAGCATTTTTCAACAAATTTGGCTTGCCTTAATTCCATTTGTCTATCTTCATAAAGCATTCGGTCACGCTACAATCCAGAAGTTGAAGTCGCTGATCATGAACTGTGGTTTTCAAACAATTTTTAAACCAAGGAAGGAACACGTGCCCCGCCAATTTTAATTTTAATGCCATTAACTGAGCTCTTCCAAGAGAATGGTCGGACACAAGTTTCAACGGACGGGTTCAAACCGTGACAGGCTGCAAGATCCAAAAACACTGATCACATGTAATCATGTGACTGCTAACTATAGTACACTCAGAACGTTAACCCTCGGGTGAAACGCTGGATACTTACATCAGAAATGAACATGAACAAACATCCACCAAACACATTCCTGGGAACATCAAAACCCGGCATGAATCTTGCTCATTCTCTGCCTCTCGATCTTGTCAAACCACACTTGGCGGCAAGACGAGGGCTAACAAAACCCTGAGGAGATTTTGTGCTCCGCGCCATCCGATTCATTATCATTTCTGATGATTTCCTGTTACAGTTCTAAATTCTAATCAGCAACAGCACGGGAATATGAGCAGAAGTTCGTTCGGTAACTTTTTGCACCTTTCAAGGCATCAAAGGCTGTCGTCATGAGAGTTTGTCAGAAACTAGGATGATTCCCTTTTCCTGAGATTATTTGGACTTTGGAGTTCAACTGTGAATGGGACTTTGTCTTTCTCCTTCCGAAAAAAAGTTTTTTGGTTGATGCTTCTTTGCCTATTGGTCCTTTCAGTGTTTCTTTCGAATTTTAAAATCGTCTGTATTTATTCAATAATGAATCCGGAGGGCCCAGGGAATAAAGTACGGCGACTGAAAATTATTACTCCTACTACACATACTGGTCAGTTTTACGGTACCATCCGAAGTAGAAAACAGGAACCTTTTCACCAGAGCGCCCAATTATCAGTAAAAATGAAAAAAGCAAGGCACGCAGGGCCAGCGGTGTATATCGCTCCTGAACACCTCGTTCTTTTATTCGATGAGAAATCCTTCTTTCTTCAATAAGTGGGGATTATTTGCAGAGCATCATGTTATGCAACCTCGACCGTTGAGGAGCTATTGACTGATTCAGTGGCATCGAACAAGACTGAGGAGCTAGGAGATAGTATTCATTTTTAATCATTCACGGGCCTACTTTGGAAAGAAAGTCGTGGGTTAAATTAGCCGGAAAATGACTAAACCTAATCCCAAATTCGTCAACCAGCTGCTTGCCCTTTTGATCAAATAAAAACAAGTTGATATTTATGTTCCCTGAAAGAGATAACCCCACGTATCTTTCGAGATGAGTAGATAATAGTACCAAGTGGGGTAGCCAGCCTCCCCAATTTCAAACCCAACAGTTTCTGTCTTTTGGATATTTTCAAGGTACCATAGCACGAGAAAAACCTATTCAAGTGCGGTATGAGGCACTAATTTTCACAGGCCAAAATATTCTTTCAGTGACTTCTATTCCGAGAATCATATCAATTTTAGAGCTTTCTTTTCCTTGTTTGCCAGGCAAATGCTAGATGCATTTTAGTTACGCTTGCAAAGAACGAAATACAAAGTCATGATAGGGAAGAAGGAAATTTTAAGTAGGGGGAAAAGAAAACTTGCTTCGTTTCCAAGGCAATACATATTGATGAAGCACAGAAAGAGTCAAGAAAAGAAGCAGCATTAGTCATAGTAAGTAGGAGGGCGTGCAATTTACGAGAGATAGAAATACAGGCTAAGGAGATGGCGGCCAATACATTCTTGCATCATCAATTCCTTCATAGAACCTTAACTCCAGCTCCTCCAGCCTTCCTTCATCGTCCCACATCCCATCATAACTCTCACTTTCATCATCATCATAGTCACCCACATCACCAGCAACAAACTCCCAGGACAGATACTCAGAAGTATCCGAGAAATCGGAGCAATCATCCCAGCCTTCCCTCTCATAGTAGCCTAGAACAAGAGGCCCCAGGACCTTCAGTTTTGGAAAATTCTGCTTCAGGAACATGTTATCGAGTTTGACTCCCCAACACCCCCTCAGATCCAGAAATTCAAGATTAGGACACACTGAGAGTATTCGAAGGACGCCCTCTGTGCTGATGAGATGATAAGCCATTTCCAGATGCTTGAGCTTAGGCATGGTGGCGGCAATTGCAAAGGCTTCTTCGTCTTGGAAGGGCTTTCCTGCTGTATCCAAAGGATGCATGTTGCGACACAACCCTTGCAGCAATTTGCAGTTCTTGCCAATTATCTCCAGAGCATAAGCACCAATTTTAATGCAATAGCTCACATCTAAGAAAGATATCATACAAAGCCTTCCAGCAATATCTTCAACTATGGAATCACTCATATTACTCCTCGGCACTCGCAAAGTCTGGAGCGACCGAGCACTTGCAAAAACAATCATTTAAAAAAACAACTAATAAGAAGGATCTGCTAACTGGACAGCGACACTAATCCATCTACTACGACATCAATTTTAAGTCCTTCTACTCCAAGAGATGTGATATAATATACCGAGAAGGATAATATCAGTATAAGCGAATAAAGACTGTAGTCAACGGCAAAATAAGAGAAAGCACATAAAGTAACGACATTGAAATTAGGAATCATAATATGTCTTACTTTTGAGCTAGGAAAGTGAAAATGGAATGGGTTTGGAGGCCAGAAACAGAGAGCTTGCGGAGAGATCCAGAACTTCTCGTGATGAGCAGTCGAAGCATGCGGTCGATTTGGTGAGGCTGGCAACGGCTGCTCCACTCCTCAATGTCAATCTCCTGCCAGCAGTAAGGTCCAGCGACAGCTTTAGCCCACGACTTACAGACCCTGGGGATTACCGTCATTTTCTCCAGCAGTGACAGATTGCTGAAGATTAAACCCAGTGCGTCCGGAATCAACTCATCCCAACTTCGAAACTCAGAAACTACTTCCATCCAATCTGCCCCTTACAGCAAAGAAAGTTATGCCTTGTTAGATTTCTGATTCAGTTTCCAAGGACTTGTCCGCATTAACAAGAAACGGAACGACTCCTGCCAAACAAGAAACACCATATAGGCATATGGCAAATGAAAATATGAAATGAGCATACGGATACACAAATGCATTCAAAGATCTGTCAAAGGGAAGCAATTGATTTGCTCAAATGTGTGACCTCAATAACCGGTAAAAGAAAGTGACTTCTTGGGAGGGTTAGAAAAGATTGAAAGTTGGGAGAGAGGGAAGGGGAATTTTTTTTTTTTTTTTTGTAGAGCCCGAAATAGGCTGGCAGATAGAAGGCGAATAAAGATTCGCAGCTTTGCGCATTTATCCCCCATAAGTAATTAGCAATAAGACGGAAGTACTTCTTTCCAATAAAATAAGAAATCTTCATATTAACTAGAACATTGGAGTGCCAGAAACTTTTGCCCCCTTTGTCATCAGAGCAACAGTATACGATCCAAGTCATTGGCCAACAGATCGAAAACCCCAGTAAATTGCTCACAGTAGTTGGTGTAGAGGGGGAAATTAAACTTCTTTCAGAGCCGCAACGAGTGAAACCAAATCGTGCAAGAAAAACCAAACAAAAGACGTACGATTTCTCAGATTTGAAGTCCCTGCTTTCTCTCTGGACTCATTTTCAGAGTATGAAAGTACCAAAGAACAGGGAAGGAAGAAACCCGGAAAGCAAAAGAAAATACAAATCACATGCGCCAAAGAGAAAAAAGAAAGTGAGGGGTGTTTACCAGGCGTAATGTATGGCAAGCGAGAAAGCTCTTCTAGAATCTGAATTGCACAGAATAGGCGACATCCGGCACATGCGCCGGGAAAAAGAGAGGGAGAAGAAGATAAGAGGGAAGGGGAAAAAGACTAAAAAACAAGAGCCATCCACCCAACTACCCAAAGCTTGAATGCAACCACCAGGAACCAAAGGAGAGTAAAGACACACAGTGGCAGACCCAAAATACGTGTAGAGTAGACACAGATAAAAGCAAAAATTTAAAAAAAAAAAAAAAAGAAATTACGAGTTGGAGGAGCAGAGAGACGCTTTGTATTTGAGCCCAAAAAGATTTTGTTCGTAATGGGAAATGAAATGACAGCGGAACCAGAAAAGATCCAAGTTTTACTGCAACACTCAAAAACTGTCAAAACTTCATACACAAAAGATTGACAGGGCCAAAAACAGACAAAAAAGAAAACATTAATTAACTATTAATTAATAGAATTACAGTCATAAAATTTATCTGTAGAAAGTTGAATTTAGAAGATGCAAGGTACAGACTGGTCATGAAAAAGGAACGGAGATGTCAATAATGACGTGGGCATAGGTAAATTCCAAGCAGGCATGCGTTGTAAAACTGCAGACAGTAAATAGGGGAAGAAAACTGAGAAAGAGAAGTGGGAAAAGGGTTCGATGAAGGGCAACACCGACACGAGTCGGTAACTCAAAGGAAGAGCCATAAGGTGATTCCCACTCGGCGGCGATGCGTGTAGAGTAGAGCAGTACATCGTTCTGGACCTTGGATACTGTGCGAACGCAAAGAGAAGTAACACTGTAATTTGAAAGAGCTTATAAATTGTTTATAAATTGTTTTTCAATAGTAATTTATAAAATATGAAATAAATGTACGAAAAAAATTTTATTTCGATTTACGTAAAACATATTTATGGAGATTTTTATCGTTTATGGCCACTACTCAATAAGTAAATAATTAGTAACAATCCCATGAGATGTAAAAAGACCTAATTTTTCTATTATGATAAACAATGTGATTTATTAGCCTACTCAATTAATTTTCGACTTATGAAATATTTAGATGAAAACTAAACTATAGTTTTAAAAGTGATTTTATGACATCTATAAAAAAAAATAATTTTATGACATACGAAATAAATATATAGAATAATTTCTCTTTATTTACAAGAAAATATTTTTGACAACGGCCAAACACCTCTTTGATCACACCATTTGAGGGAGAGGGTGAGGGTATATGTGGCTGCAAAGCACGGAACGAGCAGCTGGGCGCGAAACACCAGTGGCATTTGCCGGTGGATCTGCGTTAGGTTAGAAGAAGAGCTGGGGGCCTAAAGGCTTGTTTTGTATTTCTATACCCATTGAAATCGGCGTTGTATTTCGGCCAATGAAATCGGATATGGCCTCTGATCGAATTAGGCCCCAGATGCCATAGCCTTGTCAAGCTGATGCCTGAGCCTCCGTTTTCCAATATCACACACCCATTGTGGACTCGCCCATTTTTTCCCTCCGCCAAATAGTTTTCGCTACCCTCCTGACCCCATTTATCAGTTCGCAGAATATTACCCCTTCCGTTTCTTATTATAAGAGACAAATAACTAAATTACGTTGATAAAAAAACAGTTAAAATTAGTTGAGGACAGTTAATGTGTAAAAATATATTTTTTTTCTAACAATACCCTCATTAATAAGGAGAGAGAGTATGAGAGAAAACAATTAAATTATTAAAAGAAAGAGAAGTGGGAGAGAGAGAGAGTATGGGTTGGAGACAAAATAAATAGAGGTAAAATAGAAAATTAATACAAAAAACTAGAGACAACTTTTAAGTGTCTCTTATATATAGGAACATGCCATAAGCATCAAATGTCTCTTATAATAAAAAACAGAAGGAGTACTATTTTATATCTCTATATAGTATTTCATCTGTTTTATTAGAAACGTCAGAATATCTCCTAAAATTGACAGTATCCTTGCTTTATTAACTCAATTATACAAATGTTTGGTTATGATTGTTAATATTCGTGTTTCAAAATATATAATGAATATCTTTGTCTTTCCTAAATTCTAATAATTAATATACAATTTTCAAAATTCCCAATCTCCGTGTCTAAAAATGTAAATAAAACACGATTGTGAAATTGAAAGTTCACGTGCGATTTATGGCTATTAACATGTGATATAATCTTTTTAGTAGTTTATGTGTTGTTTGTACGTGTTTACAGCTTTTGAAAATAACAACTTCCGATTTTTGAACCTTCAACAGCAGTTAATTAACTCATTTTGATGATTTTTTAATGGTGTCCCAAATTCAGCATTGATTTACGTAAAAATATTGATCCCGAAATGAGAAATTAGGCTGAAAAGTTAAGAATGCAAAGACTCATATAACATACACAAGTCATCCAAATAGATTAAAATGGAGAAAAATTTTGTACCCCACATTATCGCCCAGTGAATTTGAAATATTTCAGGCCAGAGATACTCCTTCGCTGTCATTTACACACCATATTCAAACAAGAAAACGTACCTCAGCAAACTAGTATTTATAATTATAATATAAGCATACTTTACAGGCATATTCCCCTTAGTACCCTCGACTAAGGTGGAAAATTGGAACGATCCAGCCGCAAAACACCACCAAACCAATCGGCATAGAAAGCAAGCAAGTGATATGAATGGTGCAAGGTTTCATGAGAAGCATCGACGGACCCTTGTAGCTGGTTACTATATAGAAGAGCGCGCGCGTAAAAGCTCAACAACACCCCACTACTCACAGAACCACGAACGATGCAGCTTTTAGCCTCAAAATCCCCGCGACGCATGAGATTTGGTATTTAGTTATCTATAACAACTGCAAAACCAATAAAATTTCTATTGCGCTAACTTTGTTATTTGTTGTTACAACATTCTGTATTGATACGTAGTAATAACAATGTAGTACACTACTAATCCTTGGTTGTCCATTGCAAAGCGTGAAAAAGAAGTCCAAACCCCATTTGCAAGATGAACGGCCTAAAATATTAGTAGTTCACTAAATAACTCGTCAGAATATAACTGTTCATCGACAACAAGCATCACAGACACTCTTCTCTTGTGCATCAAACAAACAAACTCCATCTCATAATTATTTACCCCCACCAGTACAGGTTATCTAGAATAGCTAGATGCCAGGAAACCGGCACTCTGGTCATACGGGGCACATAGCATCTAGGGAATCAAAAAGAAAGTACGAGATGAATAACGAAAGCAGGCTTCTACGAATATAATCCCTTCTGCTTCTAATGCCCTTCCTAATTCATAAATTCGCTAAACCTGAATTTCGCCTTGATCCCACAGCTACAACCCAGTAAAGTGCATCCACGAACTACTCCCTGGCAAGAAAAATTGATAATGATAATATCAGAAACAAGAAACAGGCGCAGAAAAAGGTGAGAAAATAGGAATGTTAAGCTGTGCACACAAGACTTGACTCAAAGTCTTGACTGATGTATAGTTAGACGCCAAATCCAAGGAAGAGGGAAAATAAACACTGTGGCTAGTAAGCGGCGGGGCCCAAATATAAAAATTCCAGCGCTAGGTTCCAGGAAAGGCTTGATCAACATTCGACACTACATCGTCGATTCATTCCAAAATACAATCACACCATCCTCAAATTCCAAGGGAAACAAAAGAAGCTTTGAAAACAAAATAAAGAAAGGCACAGTCCCAGACTCCCAGTGTATCCGATCAGTTCTTTACTTGGTTGATAAGGTCTTCCACATGATAAACATGAAGGAAACAAAGCAGAGCCCGGGAGCCTAAGGATAGTAGCTTGATAAAGATCAGGTTTTCATGTATAAAATCCATAGGTGTCACGTAAGAGCCATCCTAGCTAAGCCTGCCCACACTCACACTTACCTTTCTGGACCTCCCTTCCAGTGCATGTTTGGTAACACAACGCAAAGTGGGAGGGAATGAGTATCATGGTAAAAAACGAGGCACCAATTGATTATCCATTGTTTATTATATTCCTATCATCATTATTTAACAGCGTCCATCCTTTATTATCACTTCTTCTTCTTCTTCCTCCCGAGAGATACCATATTCATTTCCGTTTACCTCCCTTTTATGTGGTTGGATTGACAATCAAAAGTCAACTAAGAGCGGAGGAAAAGCTAAAGTACTTCATCAAGATGTTACTTGATCAAATGGAACAAGTCACCGGGTTTGCTTTTAATATATGGATTAGACAAACTGACTCTGCATCAACTATTTCATAGTAACGATCTTGTTTGTTTCCTCATTTGTGATTAAGCTAAATTCATATACCTAGTGTCTAGTGGATGCTAACTCCAACAAAAACTGTACATTTAAGAGATCTCATCTCAACTTCCAGCAAATTCGTAATAAATATATTTCGGTAGCGATAATAATAGGCTGTGATGATAGAACTCCAACAAAATTGAGCCCATAAAAGCTACATAGAATTTTGAACCAAAAATATAAAGAACTTACCACTTGATAAGCCAGCCGAAAAGAAAATGCTGCATTATAGGGACCTTTTCCAAGACTTCTGCCTTGTACATCTTCAACAACCCACTATTTACTTTGCTCCAATTAGGCACCCCACTGATATCGTCCAACATTGGAGAGTGCTCCGCAAATAAACCCTTCTTCACCTTCTTTATGAAAGCTATGCACCCCAGGTAAAGATAATCATTCGAAAAATTATCCAGTATATCTTGGTTATGAATAGACTTGGGCTTCATATACTTGTGGTCGATCAACTGGGAAGCCCCGAATATGAAGGGCAGAAAATGGTAATCATCAAGACCCCAAACTCCATGGGATCCAGCAGGTTCCAAATTATAAACCAACTGCAATTTTCTCATCAATTCCAGATACCTCACGAAAACTCTGGCCACTACAGCATGGTAATCCTCCTCTTTGATTAGCCCCAATCTCGCAAGGCAATACAACCAGGCTGCAAAATTTGTTTCATGGCCAGTACCGTAATCGATTCGGCTAGAATTACCAAAACTATCGGTAAAATAAGGACCGATCTCGATGGTTGCCGATTGAAGTTGCTCCGGGAGAAAGCGAAGCATCAAGGAGTCACAGTTGCTCTCCAATCGGCTGTGCCAAGTTCTGTAGGCGATGTTACCATAACGGCCGGCTTGCTGGACGGGAGGGATTTCTTCGACCCATTGAGTTAGGGAATCAAGAACAGCGACGATGCAGTTGATAGTGTCAGATTGATGGCAGGGATCCGATATTTTGTGGCCGCGAATAGACTCGGAGAGAGCAACGACAAAGCCGAGGAAATTCTTGCCGGAATCGGAGTCCTGGAAGCGGCGAATATCATCCGGAGATTGAATTTTCTTAGATGGGATTTGAAAACAATAGGGAGGGGAAACGACGGGGACTTTCTGGGCTTGTGGAACTGGAGCCAGAATGATGGCACGCTGCGTGTTAGTGTCGGGAGGAATAGCAGGGGCCCTGATGGGTCGATAGGTGGGAGGAGGAGAACTCTCAGACCACGAGGGCGGCGGAGGCGGAAAGGTTGTGGGGCCGCCGCATTTGCAACAAGTGCCGGTAGAGACGGTGGATGTCGGAGAGGAGGGAGATTGAGGCGATTTTGGAGAGTGATGGTGATCGGGGGCTTCCATGTTGCTTGTAACGAAGGCAGCGCAGTGAAAGAGAGGAGGAAAGGGGTGAAAAATGGAAGATATCAAGGGGCACCGCCGTGCTCCCGCACCAAAAAAACCGTGGATATTACAATCCGACCCGAACACCCCCTTTAGCCATAGAATTGGTATAATGGGAAAATTACACTTAGATCCCACAGAAGACAATTAATTTCAAAAAAATCTCCAAAATCATTCTGAAATCTCCAGGGACCTATGTGTAATAAATTGTAATTATAAAATTACTTATTTACCCCTGTTAATTTTATTGCAGCAATTCAATTACAACTCAACAGTGGCTGTTGACAACCCAAGAAGAAGTGGTTGACAATCTCAACAGCGCTCCTAACAACTCACTCTGTGGGATGTCAGGGGCATTGTCGAGGTTGTTAACCACCTCTCTTCGGGTTGTCAACAGCCACCGTTGATGTTGTAAATGAATTACATTGAATTCAAATTAATGGGATAAATAGGTAATTTCATAATTATAATTAATTACACACAGTCCCTGGGGATTTAAGAATTATTTTGGAATTTTCAGAGACTTTTTTGAAATTAATTATCTTCTGTGAGACCTGAGTGTAATTTTTCCTAGTATAATAGCATATGAGTATTGGCAAAATATTAGTAAGGCGCTGGAGTATATGAGATGCAAGGGGTGAATTGAGGGGCGGATAAAATTTGAGGTACAGTTCAGATTTTTTTTAATGTTCCCTGAAGAATCCATGCTTAGGAGAAAAGTATAGGTATTTATATAATTACACGATATATGGGTCTTTTTTTTTTTTTTGCCAACAGATATATGGGTCTAATATCATGATTTATTAAAAGATTTTTGTCATCTTGGTGATCTTTGGCTCAGTTCCCCACAGCCTTTTTGCGACTTTACTCCTCATTAGTATTGAATGTTGTCCGGATAATTAAAATGAATGGACCTGAAATTGTGGAATTGAGGTTTCTCGGGTTATATAAAAGGGTGTTTGGATGAAAACCAAATCATAGTTTTAGAAGTGATTTTACAGTATACGAAATAAATATGTGGAGGAATTTATCTCGATTTTTTTTGGGTACAAAAGAGGGCCTAGCCCAAAAAGAAAAATTAACTCAAGATGGGACTAAATCCCAAACTGTCACGGTGTATAAATCCCTTCAGATCATCAGGGCACACATCAAAATAATCCGTGGTATTGATCCCTTTTTTTGCTAACCCATCAGCCACGGTATTTCTAGTCCTTGCCACGTAGCTCAGTTTGACTTCCCAGTTATATTGCAGCAAATTGCGGATCTGCCATACCATAAGACTATCAAAGTCTCTAGACTTTTTGTCTATCAGCATCTTCACTAAATCTTTTGCATCAGACTCAATAATGACCTGTCTGAATCCAAAATCCCAAGCTAAGTTCAAGGCTTTAAAAATAGCCCAGGTCTCCGCTTCTACCACACTACACTCACCGATCTGAGCTGAGAATCCCACAATCCATTTTCCAGTATGATCTCTGATCACTCCTCTACATCCTGCTCTCTTGGATCTTTTTGCTACTGCTCCATCGACGTTCACTTTCACCCAACCTTCTGGTGGGCAAGACCACATGTTAGGCTCTTCCTGTTCCTGCGTTAAACAGCCTCGCTGCTTTGAATCCTTCAGTGTGATAAAATTCCTCCAGGTATATCTAATCATGCTTGTTGGGTCTGTAGGCTTTAAAAAATTAGGATTAAAAATGTCTTCATTTCTCCACAACCATAATTTACATACTGTAACTCCCCATAACAGATCCCAATCAACATTTCCACCTTGGCTCAAATTTTCCTGCAAATTCAGAGCAATCTAGTCCTTTAGATCTTGGCTGAAGAATCTATGACGATGGGACTAGTCAATAAATTTATTCCATACGTATTGAGCATAAATACAGTCCCTCAATACATGCAAAGTAGTTTCAACTTCAGTACCACAGTAGTGGCAAAAAGAAGAGCACTGAGACCATTGACTTCGCCAGAGATTAGTAGGAAGCCTATCACGAAAAGCCCTCCATATGAAGACCCGTATCCTTTCTACTCCCTTCCATTTCCAAATTCAATTATAGATAGAGCTGTAAAGGCTGTTTGGATTTTCTTCAATTTGAAAGTAAGCACTTTTAAGATTAAAATTTCCAGATTTTGAATGTTTCCAGATGATAAAATCATCCCCCGCAGCCTGCAAAGGAGGTAGCAAACTTGTCAGTCTTCTTAATACTTCTGGTTTAACCACCGTAGCTAAAGCTTGCCAATTCCAAGTATTGTGATCTACCCAATCAGCAACCACGCTATCCTTTTCTACTAAAGATAGCTCTCTTAAGCACATGTCATTAATTTTTTTATCAGAAAACAACCAGAGGTCATTGAAAAACTGAATTGACTTCCCATTTCGGAGTTGCCAAATAGCTCCATTGTCTATCACATTTTTCTGCTGACAAATAAACTTCTACAACTGTGAGTCTCCTGGGAGAGCTGTAAGTAAATTAGTCTCATTTTTTAGCATATACTTTTTATTTAAAATTTCTGACCAGAGTCCTTTTTCTCCAATAATCAGTCTCCAAGCCAGCTTCGATCCATAAGCTGAGTTAACAGATGAGAGTCTCTTAAAACCAAGGCCATCATAAGACTTTGGCAGAGTAATATAATTCCATCCCATAGGGTGGTAGCCTTGTTTTTCTTGGTTGTGGCCCCATATGAAATTTCTTTGCAGCTTTTCCACTTCATCACAAATTTTCTTAGGCACCTGGGAAACTTGCATAGGGTAGAGTGGTATAGAGCTCATAACAGATTTTGCTAATGTGATTCTACCGGCTATAGACAAGCATTCAGCTTTCCAGTTAGCCAGTTTAGTTCTCACCCTGTCAACAATGTATTGGAATTTTTCAGTTGTCTTCCTAGTTCGGATAAGAGGAAAACCCAGATATTTCCCTATCTCAGTAGATGTTTTCATTTGAGTAATAACTCCTATCTTCTTTTTCTGATTCTGCTCAACTCTATGAGAGAAAAACATAGAAGATTTACTCCTATTCACATGTTCACCTGAAGCTTTAGAGAATAGATCGAGAATCTCCATCATACAAGCAGCCTGGGATTCAGCAGCAACCCCAAACAAAAGAAGGTCATCCGCAAACATAAGGTGGGAGACAACTGGTCCATTACTAGTGACATATATGGGTTTCCATGTGCCATCAATTACTGCATCACATATCATATGAGATAATTTGTCCATACATAACACAAAGAGGAGGGGGGATATAGGATCTCCTTGACGGAGACCTCTTTTTGGAGCAAAGTATTCAGTCTTAGACCCATTCCACAGGACATTATAGGTGGCAGAGGTCACACAGCTCATCACAAGATTTACAAAATTATCTTCCATTCCAGCCTCTTGCAAAACCTTCTTGAGGAATTCCCAGCTAAGCCTGTCAAAAGCTTTTTCCAAATCTATTTTCATTGCAACCAAACCTTTCTTCCCTCTAGCTTTATTCATGATATGGAGAATTTCTTGCCCAATTATAATGTTATCCTGAATATGCCTCCCTTTTATAAAGCTAGCTTGGAAAGGAGAAATCAAGTCATCCATCACCAACTTTAATCTTTGAGTTATAACCTTTGTAATACATTTATAATGGACTGAGCATAGAGAGATTGGTCTAAAATGAGCCACAATTTTAGGATTTTCTCTTTTCGGTATAAAGAAATTAGAGTCTTATTTGAGTCTGCGATTGAAAGATCTCCCTGGAAGAATTTTTTCACAAAGCTACAGACAGTAGGGCCTACAATCCTCCAATTATGCTGAAAGAATATTGGAGAAAACCCATCATAACCTGGGGCTTTATAAGGCCCCATCGAAAACAAAGCATCTTTGATCTCCTCATCTGAAGGAATGCTACTAAGACCGCTTACAATAGAGTAATCTATGACAGGAAACTTCGTTTTGGTTTCAAGAACCGTATTATCAACATCTTCCATAGCAAACAGCTGTTTGAAATAATTCACAATCAGACTTTTTAGATCAGATTCATTTGCCACCCAAATTCCTTGTTCATTTTTCAAAGATAGAATTCTATTCCACTTTCTTCTTTTGTGTGTCTTAAGATGGTAGTATCTTGTGTTCCTATCACCCTTAGTAACCCAATTCGATCTGGCCTTTTGAAACCATTTAATTTCTTCAAGCCTCAAAATTTCATCTAGCTCCTGTTGAAGATGTAATTCTAGTCTAGTTAAGAAACTAGAGTAAGGGTACACTGGAGACTGTTGAATTCCTTTCAGTCTAGCTAAAATAATTCTTTTCTATTTATCTCGATTTGTGAAGGGAGAAGAGTGCTACATTGCCGGTTGCCGCTGTACGAGTCCAGCTCACATAGATTTTAGCCCAGAAATCTAACCCCGGCCTGCATGCGCCTCCATGAGGAGTCCAGCCTATCCACCTCAAAGCTTGCCAACTAATCATTTTATTTTCTTTGTTTTTCTACGTAATAGTATTTTAACACACACTACACAAATTTAGAATAATTTATTAGCTTCTGTTCCAACACGACATGATCACAGTGAAATAAAGCAAGCTTCGACCAATCGCTCAAGATATGTTTGGATTGGCGTTGGCCAAAACTAACTTCTAACCCAGCTAATTTTTATAACTAAAGTTAGAGTAAAAGTCAATTATGGTATGTTTAGATAAGTGTTTTTAAAAAGTCAATTGAGAAAGTTGAAGATTGTTTGGATGATTAATAGAAAAGTTAATTTATTTGTAAAATAACTGAAAATAACATGAACTTTATTGAATAGTAGTGTTTGAAATTTTATGTTTTTAATATGATAATAATTTAAAAAATATGTAAAATCATTATGATAAAATATAAGTAGTTTATTTATGAAATTATAAAATAAAAATATTTGTTACGAAAAAAATTGAAAACATATTGTAGATAATTAATTAAATATACATAATGGACAAACATGAATATAAATTAAAATTAATTTGGTATAAATAAAAGCTCATTATGCTAACGAAAGAGATGAGACAGAAGAAAAAATATGATGGTAAATCTGGGATGCTCGTTTTTAATAATCACCGTTTAAAACTACAGTTTGAAAAGTGAGATTTTTATTTGTTGAAAGTCAGAAGTTGGTTGGAAAAGTTAATCCAGCGAAACAACAGTTTTTGTCTAACTCAGTTTGTAACCTCAATTTTAATATTTTTAATGAGCTTTTGGTGTTTGTAATTGTGATTGTTAGTGGATCGAATAGTTTAATATGAATGTAAATTAAAATTCATTTGGTCTGAATAAAAACTCATTATGCTAACGAAAGAAATGAGACAAAGGAAAAAAATGTGAGGGTAAATCTGAGATGTTTATTTTTAATAATCACCGTTTAAAACTATAGTTTGAAAAGTCAGATTTTCATTCGTTGAAAGCCATAAGTTGGTTAGAAAAGTTAATCCAGCCAAACAGTAGTTTTTGTCGAACTCAATTTGCAACCTTAGTTTTACTATTTTCAATAAGCTTTTGGTGCTTGTCACTGTGATCCAAACACGTTCTTAGTGGATCGAATAGTTTAGACACGTGGATAAATGGGGTGTCATTCTGTGCCAACCTGTCCATCTAACATTGAAAGTCTTCCGTCAACGACATTTGTCCATCTAACTTTGCGACCGCATGGCCGACTTCCCTATTTTCCTTCCCATCGAATGCTAGCAAAGCCAGTGCGTCGACGTCGTCTGCTCTCTCCGGAAACAATAATCAATAACAAACCCCCGGGCTATGTAAAAATAAACCAAAATTCTCATTTAAGCCTCGCTCAGTATTCAGATGTTAAAAATTAATTCAAGTTGCTTAAACTATAATAATATACAATAATAATAATATTATTAATAATAATAGATTTCAGGTTTTCGGATCCCCCAGGCAAGTTGCCAATGTTGAACCAAGACAAAAACGCCATCGAAAAGGCATTAGAAGATCAAGCTCTGGGAATATTAAATTATTTTGTCGATTGACATCTGCTTGTGGGGCAGCAAAAACAATAGTGTGGATATATTAAACTATTAAAAGACCAAGCTCCGGGAATATTGAATTAGTATGTGGTTTCTCACGGATTCCCCAACTCCGAACTTTTCACACAACAATGGAAAGCCATCGTTTCCCTCCCTCTTTTTCTAATTACCCCCCCGTGGCTGCATAGACTTAATTATTGGGAAACCAAGATGGGCGGTACAAGTAATTAGCATGACCTGGATTTTCGCTCCAATAAGGGGAAAAAAAGGTCAGGAGACGCCAGCTGATCCCTGAAGTTCGGCAAACATAAGCTGGAGTAAAAAAAAAAAAAAAACTAACATCACGACCTTTAATATTTTGGAAAGCATAATTTAAATTAAACAAATCAATAAAAATGTAAGAACCTTTGATAAATAAAGAGAATATATCATTTTAAAAATATGATCATGCACATATGTTGCTGAGTTACATATGGCATGACGTCACCGATTCGCCGCCTCAAGCTCGGAAGGTTTTGAATGGGTGATTTCTCTAGACATTCTTTACATTAAAATCAACAGAGGATCTTAATTTATTATTAATTGTTCCTTTAATTCGCCCTGTTTTCTAAAAAAAATAATTTGTGGTTCGGTGAACCATTCCGGATTATATTGGTTCAATGCCCCAACACGACTCTAAGAACATTGATCATAATCACGACTTTGACGTCAAAACATGATCTTGATAGTTTTTTTTTATGATAACCCAACTGCCTAAACCTCGGAGGAAAGCGAGCTGATTGTTGATCGTTGTAATCTGTTCTGATTTTGATTTTGTTTCCCAATTAAAGTTTCAAAACCATTACTCTTGATTTTTCAAATTTATTCCGTTTAATACTAATGTTAATTAATGCAGTTTGAAGAGGATTTGGACTCGGAATCAAAGTATTAAGTTTACTTATTTGGAGAGCTGGTGCGACATGGCAAAATTGCTGGGTAAGCTAATAAATGACCTGGACTTATGGTCAAAAAAGGAAGGAAACGAAGCTTCCCTCCTCTTCCACATCCCCGGCTCCGCCATACTGTATTAATTTGTCGATTGGCATTTACTCTCGGGGCAGCAAAAACTACAGTGTGGATATATTAAATTAATAAAAGATGAATATTAGGGGGTGTTTGGATGAAACCAAACCGTAGTTTTGAAGAATAGATTATGGGAGAATAGATTTTGTGAAAAAATGATTTTGAGAAGTAAGAGTGTTTGGATAGTTATTACCAGAAGCACTTTTTACATGTAAAAATTACCAAAAAGGGTATAAGTTAATATGATAATTATATAAGGGATAGATTTTATGATATATTTTGATTTGAAGAAATAAAATTATTAATGAAATAATTTTTAATAACATAATTAATAATATATAAGATAATATAATTAATACATAATTAATATGTGTGTATATATTTATAAAACATAATATTAAATATGTTTATAGAAAAATAATTTTTTTTGCTAACAGAAAAATATTAATTTTCTTTAAAGACTTTAAACATGAAATCTCATAACATTTTTTCACAATTAGTTTTTGTAATAACATACTACCTCCGATGTTTAATATAATTAATTAATTAATTGTCACCACATGTATATATATTCATAAAATATAAGAATAAAAATATTTTTAGAGAAGATGAATTATTTTGTTGTGCAATTATTTAAGCAAAGGAGGAAAGGAAGAGCAATTATCTGAGTGGGGCTATTTGGTCACCTGTGATGGGCCCACCGTAAGCTTCCAATAATTGGAGCCAAGAAGCAACTTTGATATGCTTCTGATAAAACCATGGTTTGGGGGTTCAAAACCATGGTTTGCCCCCAAACCATGGTTTCATATTTTCAGGAACTGTTTGGCTGACATTTTTCTCAAACCATGGTTTGGGATGCTTGCCAAACAGGCCCTTAAATTACAATGTGGCTGCTCCCCGATCCCAATTTCAGAACATTTCACAAAATGAGCGGAGCACAATAATGGGAAGCCATCATTTACGACCCTTTTTTTGTATCAGCTTGTTGGAAACCCAATCTGGGCGGAATGAATAACCAGTATGAGTTGGAATCATAAAATTACTGGCATCATGCCCTTCAATTGTTTTTGTAAACGTAATTCAAATTAAATTAGACTAATAAAAATGTAAAAGCACCATAATGGAGCAAGGAAGAAACCACAGGGCAAAACGATTAATGGAGCGGGGAAAGGACAAAAGGCAAATCATTTTCATATTGATGGATATAACGGATACATGATAATGCCCGCACATACCCAGTATGATGATGACACGTAGAATGGGAGAACGGCTCTACAATAAGCTATTGGACTTCTCTTCGGCTTTTTTGTTTTTTGGGGGGGGGGGATTGGCAAGCTATTGCTTGCTGGTTTCCGACGTCACAAGAGCGCATCCCGCGCCATCCTGGCCTTCGACATACCACTTGATGCGTTAACAAATATATGAAGAGAAGGGGGCAATAATTTTAAATAAATAAGGGTATTTATTTAAACCACAAAAATCATCAGAGTCAACTGACTAGCTTGTGTCTGCCCATTGACAAGTTTGACGCCAATTGCATTGGTTTTGCCTCTACGGTATAATATAATGAGAATGGAGAAGGAAGTCAAAGGTGATGGCGGCGAATAGGGATGCAGAATATAAAATAGATAAAAAGTTAAAAAGAAACACCGCCTCTTGGGCGCAAACTCTATAAATGGAGCACGTCTCCACACTCCTTTCATCCATCTCGTCGCCTGAGCGAGTCGAACTTGAATACAAAAAAATGGGTTCATTGGCGGCACCAGAGAAGCCTCACGCAGTGTGCATTCCATACCCAGCACAAGGCCATATCAACCCAATGCTCAAACTTGCAAAGCTTCTCCACTTTCGTGGTTTCCATATCACCTTCGTTAACACCGAGTTCAACCACAAACGCCTCCTCAAATCGCGAGGTCCAGATTCCCTCAATGGCCTCCCTTCCTTCCGTTTCGAAACCATCCCTGATGGCCTTCCCGACTCCGACGTCGACGCCACGCAGGACATACCTGCCCTCTGCGAGTCCACCAGCAGAACCTGCTTGCCTCCCTTCAGAGACCTCCTTCACAAACTCAACAGCTCCCCGGACGTCCCTCCCATTACCTGCGTGGTTTCTGACGGTGTCATGAGCTTCACGCTTGATGCCGCTCGTGAACTCGGCATTCCAGAGGTTCTTTTCTGGACTACTAGTGCCTGCGGGTTTCTCTGTTATGTTCATTATAGCCACCTCATCGAGAAGGGCTTGACACCGCTCAAAGGTAAACTTTGATGCCGGCTTTATGGTTTATGTGGAATTTAGAGAGTAATCAACTGTTATCAACTAAACCCTATTGTTCCGTGTTGACTTTTGCAGACTCCAGCTATCTAACAAATGGTTACTTGGACACTGTGATAGATTGGATACCAGGAATCAAGGAAATCCGTCTGAGAGACATCCCAAGCTTCGTCAGAACCACAAACCCAGAGGAATTTATTCTGGATTTTATAACAGTAGAGTGCGAGAGAGCTCAGAGAGCATCGGCCATCATTTTGAATACGTTCGACGCTCTGGAGCATGACGTCTTGGAAGGATTATCCTCCATTTTGCCTCCTGTCTACTCCATCGGTCCCTTAAATCTACTCATAAACGATGTCACCGACAAAGACTTGAAGTCAATCGGCTCGAACCTCTGGAAGGAAGAGCCAGAGTGTCTGGAATGGCTGGACACCAAAGAACCCAACTCCGTGGTGTACGTGAACTTCGGGAGCATCACAGTGATGACAAATGAGCAATTGATAGAGTTTGCATGGGGACTTGCCAACAGCAACCAAACCTTCTTGTGGGTTATCAGACGCGACCTTGTCGGAGGTGACAACGCAGTTCTTCCTGCAGAATTCGTACAAGAGACTAGACACCGAGGACTACTTTCAAGCTGGTGCCCACAAGAGCAAGTTCTAGCTCACCCTTCAATCGGAGGGTTCTTGACGCACAGTGGATGGAATTCGACGGTGGAAAGCATGTGCGGGGGAGTGGCGATGGTATGTTGGCCGTTCTTCGCTGAGCAGCAAACCAATTGTCGATTCTCGTGCAAGGAATGGGGAATTGGGTTGGAGGTAGACAGCGACGTGAAGAGGGAAGGCGTGGAGAGGCTTGTGAGGGAATTGATGGAGGGGGAAAAGGGGAGGGAGATGAAGGAGAAGGCGACGGAATGGAAGAAATTAGCGAAGGAAGCTTGTTCTGGCCCAGCTGGATCTTCGGTCCGGAATTTGGACGCCATGGTTCAACAAGTTCTTCTGGCCGAGACTAAGTGCTAGTTGGATATTACCGTGTCCCTTTGTGTTTGTTTCGCTTGTACGTTCCTCATACGGTCATACGCCTGTCGGTTTGACTTTCTGCATTCCTTCCATTTCTCACAATGTGATTTTTTTATTTGAAAAAATTGAATTTATCTTGTTAAATAAGCTAACTCCCGATGTATGGCAGAAAGGTGGGACGATCTTTCTTTCTTGTCTTTGGTCAGTTCGAATCGATCATCGCATTGAACTTTGAACACCGCCAGATTCAATATTTTGAATAATATTTTTAATATTAAGTAACACAGAGGAATGTCGGAAAAAAACTCAAGTCAATGAGGTAAAAATTTAGTAGTTGACAGAGTATAATAATACCATGCAATTCATGCGGGTAACTCGATTTATTGGGCAGTAAAGATTGTTTGTGTTTTTAATAATATTGGTTGTTTTGGCTAAAATGAAAAGAATGATATCTTTTACATTTTTAGAAAATAATCTTTGTATAAACGTTAAATAGTATACTTATAAACTTGGGTCATCTAGATAATGAGCATGCCCGGTTATCTTCGCCATTTCTAATGCTGCTAACGAATGAATTCTGGGATTCGGACACGAATAAAAAATTCAGCCTACATATCCCAGTGAGTCTCGAATTCTCTTCTGCGCCTCAGTCATAGTATTTTTTCATAAGATGAAAAAAAAAATATAGTACAAAATTTTCTGATAGAAAATTCATGTTCCAGTGGAAAATTCATTCGTGGCGGGGGATTGGTGTAGCAATTGAGGTTGAAATCCGCTTGAAAAAGTTTAGATTCTATCAGATTAAAATTAATCTCGTGTTTGTGCCTTTGTAATAGCATAAATATCTGAAACAAAAATTATTCGAAGAAGGGTCTTGTGATCTCAAATAAATATATGAGAAAACATTTTTTTAGGTGCTTCTTAGGATTTTCAATCATCCATGTCGAAAAAGAATTGGCGCGTAAAGAGCGTATATGTTAATAAAATATTAATCCAAATAAGTGGCTTATGTTATTTAAACTGTCCCCCTGTTTTAATCAATAAAATTAGTTAGGGCAGTCTTTTCAAATTTCGATTAAACAAGCACGAGATCTGTAGGAAAACCATTTCATCTTATTGAAAAGTTCCCCTGTAATAAATTCAATTTTCTGGAGGGTTCAGTGTCGGCGCAGGAACAAGCATAATGGCGGTGCATGAATATAGCATTTTGCTGAGCGTGGGGTTAGAATGTTTTATTCATTAACGGAGGGGAAGGATTATATATATAAGCTCTGGAAGTAATTTTTGTTTTGGATGCTTTCGCTGAATACCTCACAATAACGTATGAAGTTTTCAAATCCTACAGTTTGAGAAACAGGAGGTTTCAGTTTCAGGTCCTCGGTGTTGCCGATGAGGGTGAAGAATACTGGTCGAGATGGTACAGTCAAAGATATTTTTCACCGAAACGAAAAGTCAGAGGGCATATCTTCCTGACGCAACTTCTAGTATATACTACGTCTAATTTTAATATAAAAATTTATTTGATTTTTATTGTCATTCAAAATATAAGATACTAACTTATTTTGTTATTTATATTTATATATTTTTTTAAAGTAGTTTTTTAATAATGATACTTCTAGCCAATACACTTGATTAGTAGGGATGTTTTAAAAAAAATAAAATATATTTATTACAAATAACTAATTTAACTTCTTTTCTTAACCTACTCAAATAGTTAACTAGCTCTTATATTTAAAACCGGAAGGAAGTAGTATATCCTTTAAGTGCCTACAGGGCTGACTGTGAGTTCTCCTGGAAAAAAAAACCTGCCTTTGAGTATTTTTTATGATTAATATAATTTTTAGTGTTTTAAATTTGTTTTTATTTTAATTTTAGTCTTTCAAATTTTAAATTAGAAGTTTTTTTAAATTTTAAATTAGAAGTTTTAGTTCTTGATAGGATAAAATAATCTAAATTTTTATTAACTTATAAAAGTAAATGTTATAAATAAAAAAAAATTGAGGAATTAATACTTATGATTTAAAATTTAAAATATTAAAAATTTGACTGGGAAAGAGCATGATTACGCTCATGACCCCTTTCTGTACCATTCGGTGTTTTTTTTGGTACTTGCGACCAGTTTGAAAAGAGCGAAAAGTGGGGGAAGACGGGAAAGGAGGAGCCATTCGCGCGCAAGGCGCGATTATCGCAGCGACAAGAACGCGGGAGAGGACAGAGAATAGTGATTAGGCCGTACTCCTCTATATTTTTATTATAAATTTTAAATAAATAATAAATAATTAGCTAAAATTAATTTAAAATAATAAATAAATTAAAAATATATTTTGATTTTTAAACATATCCTTATAATAATAATAAAGTAAAAAATAATGAAAAAATATATATAAAAGCAGGTGATAAAAAATAATTGAAAACAACATTAAAAAATTACGTTAAATATCAAGACAAATTTAAATTTAAATTTATAAAACACATCATAACCCTTCTCAAATTTAAAATTTGTATATGGCAGCAGAGTGTCAAAAAGTAGGAAATGGAATTAGAAGCTAATACTGAATTGATAACCCACGTCGATTTCAATGGAAATGATGTCATATCAGATAGAAAACCACACCACTTTCTTCCCAGCCAGGGCGGCCGGCCGCCGCCAACACTTTGATTTCGGTGTCGTCGCATTCAACACATGCGTAGATGCACCAGGGCTAGTAATATATATTGAGTCTCTGGCTCAACTTACCAATCTGTCATTGTCATTAGGATTGAAAACAGATTAGGTCAGGTCAGATTTCGCTCTTAACAGGCTAGGTCTGTATTGAAGTCTGTTAGCTTGAACCTAGCCTGTGCCTTATGACAGGCCTTATATTCAGCCTGGCCTGAAACCTGTTAAAAAGCCTGTATTTTCTTAAAAAATTTTAAACTAATTTAAAATTACAATAATTCAATCTAAATTATCTAAAATACAAACATAAAAATTATTTAAAATATTTAAGTGAAAATATTTAATATTCAAATGGTAGTATATTATTTTGTAATTTAAGTGAAAAATATTTAATAACTTGAAGAGAACATGTAGTTAAAAAAGTCATAATACAAGGGACAAACATAAATCAAATTCATAGAGGGGTTATTTCTATTCTCAATTGTTGATGATGTATATTAGGAAAACTGAGTAGTTTTGCATACATAAATAAAAGTAAAAAATAACAAACATGAAATAACAATAAAGTGCATATTAAAGAAATCATCATTTAAGGTATACTGAAGAGTAATCCAAACATGGTCTTATTCAGGATAAAAATATGGTATTAGACATGTTACAATATTAATCAAAACATGGTATTATTGTAAAAAAATTAGTTATAAATTATAATTATAATATTAAAAAAAAAGTAACAGGCTCAGGCTACCTAACAAGCTTAACGAGCTTCTTAAAGAGCTTGGGCTTGACCTATTAAGAGAAGCAGGTCTTTAAAAAGGCTTGCACCTGCTTTAATTTGGAAATAGGCCAAGCCACAGATCCTTAACATGCCGCTTGGTCTATTTCCAACCCTACTTGTCATAAGATAGTGGGTTGGATTAAAAAAATACAGACCATCTTGATGCATTCTTTTTTAGCCCGCACCCATCAACTCACAGTCCACCAGCCTGTTTTTTTTTTAAAAATTATTTTTGTTTACAATTTTTATGTTAATTCTAATAAGACAATGTCTTATCATTTTCATTTATTTTTTCGATACAAAAGAGGGTCAAGCCCAATTACAGAAAACTAAACAAAATGGGGAATAAATCCCAAGCTCTCTTTTTCCACAATATCCTTAAGGTTCAAAGGACAGATCTCATAGAATGATGTCGTCTCAATTCCCTGCTTTGCTAAAACGTCCACCACGCTATTGCAAGTTCTCGGCACATGAGTCAACTTTGCTTCCCAAGAACTCCGAAGCAAGTTTCTAATCTGGATAAGCATCAAACTACTATTCTGAAAGGTGTCTTCTTGTAAGAGTTTCCCCACCACATCTTTTGCATCAGATTCAATAATAATCTTCTTGAAACCAAAGTCCCAAGCCAATTGCAGACCCCTGAATAAAGCCCACTCCTCTGCTTCATAAGCGTTGCATCTTCCAATTTTAAAAGAGAATCCCACTATCCACTTCCCTTCTGAATTCCTCAGAACACCCCCACACCCTGCTTTAGAGGACTTTAACTCCACAGCTCCATCAACATTTAATTTCACCCACCCACAAGGCGGAGGACTCCAACCAGTGTTAATGGGTGTCATATTTTTGTCTATCCCATCACTTCCAGCTTGCAAAACGTAATTCTACCATCAATGTTTAAGTGCTATAACAGGATTTCTAGGCCTCTCAAAATCATTTTCAAATATTGCTTTATTACACCAGCTCCATAACTTCCAAACAATCACTCCCCACACAAGATCCCGGTTTCCAAGTTTCGTACTCACTCCCTGCAGTTTTAGATTTGTTGAAAACCAATCCCTTAGAGATAGAGAGAAAAAAGAGTCAGCATACCCAGGATCAATTAAGGCCAACCATATTTGCTTTGCATAAGTATAGTCTCTTAGGATATGCAAGGTATCCTCATTTTCATTGGGGCACAAAGAACACTTCGGGGAAGATGAGGTCCAGCAACTCCTCTAGCTATTTGTTGGGAGTTTATTGTTGAAAGCCCTCCATAGAAAAACTCTAATCTGCTCAGCTCCTCTCCATCTCCAGATGAACTTATAGGTTGGGTGATAATGATCTTCTGGATTTTGTTCTAACAAAAAGTAGGCACTTTTGATAGAAAAGATCCCGTTAGGGGAGGCCTTCCAATAAATGAAATCAGTACCCATTTCCTCCATAGGTGGAAGAATACTAATCAGTCTTTGAATGACTTTCTCGTCAACTATAGCGCCTAACTTCTAAATATTCCAGCAGTGACAAGAGTGTCCAGTCAGCAACAACACTTCCTTCTTCTTCACTAGAACTAGGCCTTCTACACATAGAGCTAACAGCCTTATCCGGGAAAAGCCAAAAATTAGTGAAAATTTTCACTAACTTACCATCTCTAACCCGCCATTGAATTCCTTTCTCTGCAAGGTCGCTGCATTCGCAAATAAAGCGCCATAATTTAGAATCTCCTTGCTGGTAATGGAAGAGGTTTTCCTCATTAGTCAAAAGGTATCGCTGACTTAAGACATCAGACCAAAGCCCTGACTCTCTAGTTAACAGCTTCCAGACTAGTTTAGCACCACAAGCCTTGTTCATGGAAGTAAGTTTTTTGAAACCTAAACCACTATGTGATTTGGGGAGTGTAATTTAATGCCACCCAATTGGGTGAAAACATCTCTTCTCACTGTTATGTCCCCAAATAAAATCTCGTTGCAGTCTTTCTATTTTGTAGTAAATTTTTGCTGGGATCTTCACTACTTGCATAGGTAAAGAGGAACAATACTCAAAACTAATTTTGCAAGTGTAATTCTTCTTGCCATAGATAAGCTCGCTGCCTTCCAAGATGATAGCTTTAATCTAACTCTGTCAATAATGGAACGGAAAGTGTCCGTAGGTCTCCTTCCTCTCAAAAGTGGGAAACCAAGGTATTTACCAATGTCACTGCTAATCCTCATCTGCGTAATCTCCTTGATTCTTGATTTTGTCATAGCATCAACTCTAGGAGAGAAGAAAATCGACGACTTACTTTTACTCACCAATTCTCTAGATGCTTCACAGAAAATATCAAGACACTGCAACATGCAATAAGCTTGCTCCTCAGAGGCAGGTCCAAAAAGCAAGAGATCATCTGCAAACATTAGATGAGAAACATAAGGTCCATTTCTAGTAACTCGAATTGGCGTCCATTTCTGCTCATTAACCGAATCACATATAATATGAGATAATCGATCAATGCATAAAACAAACAAAAGTGGCGAAATTAGGTCTCCCTGTCTGAGCCCCTGCTGTGGGATGAATTCATTGGTTAATTCACCATTCCAAAGAATGTTGTAACTCACAGTCATGACGCACGACATAACTAGATTGATGAAGCCCTCCTCGAACCCAGCATCAATTAGGACTTGCCTCAGAAAAGACCACTTGATCCTGTCATATGCTTTCTCAATATCTATTTTCATAGCCATTAGACCTTTCCTCCCTCTGGATCTGTTCATGATGTGGATGATTTCCTGTGCTATAATTATGTTATCTTGAATATGCCTCCCTTTGATGAAGCTAACTTGGAAAGGAGATATAATCTCATTCATTACATCCTCAAGCCATCTAGTGATGATCTTAGCGATACACTTATAATGGACCGTGCATAAAGAAATAGGTTGGAAATGGTACACTCCCTCCGGATTGTCCCTTTTCAGAATCAAGGAGATCAGAGTTTTATTTGCCTCACCAATTCCAGAATTCCCCAAGAATATGTTTTGCACAAAACTACAAACAGCACCACCAATTACCTTCCAGTTCTTCTAATAGAAAACAGGGGAAAACCCATCAATGCTAGGAGCTTTAAAAGGTCCCATAGAGAAAATTGCCTCTTTAACCTCCTCGTCCAGGGGAACCGCGTTGAGATTAGTTCGTATCACTTCCTCAAGTATGGGGAAATTCGTTACAGTACAAAGATTATAACCCCCATCCGAATCAACATCATAAAGTTTTTTGAAATAGCTAAGAACCATATTTTTTAGCTCAGTTTCATCTCCAATCCACCCACCAAGAGTCCAAGATCATTCTTCAAAGCAGCGACTCTGTTTCTCTTTCTTCTCACACAAGTCTTGAGATGATAATATTGAGTGTTCCTATCACCTTTAGTGATCCATCTAGTTCTGGCTTTTTGAAACCATTTCACTTATCATTTTCATTTAAATTATATATAACTTTATATTTTGTCAGAGATTTTAATTCTAAATTTGATTTCTCATTTTTTATTGTTTTATTATTTTTACAATAAAACAATTATTAACAATAAATTATATATTTATATTTCAACTTTTGAGATTAATTTAATTATATAATTATATGAAAATGTAAGAACATGAAGAAATTGGTCTATAAAAATTTATAATTTAATTTAAAAAAATTAAATATATGTGTAAAAAAAATAAAAAAAAAAGATGGAGGTTGACATGTCAATCCATCAACCCGCCTTGTTTGAGTTTGTAAAGAAGTGATCTTTTTAAGACCAACCCGTATAGTCTCGAGCTCGGCCAGTCCATTTTATCGCCTCTAAGACGCAAGAACTGCACAAAAATCCCCGGGGATGCACGGCCTCGTTGAGGTAACGAGAGCTATTTTACACTCTTTCTCAGAATCATCCGTCTATCCCCACTAGTATTCCATTTTTTGACAAAAACAAAATTCCCAGAGCATATGTATATTGTACTATCTCCAGTCTTAAATATAAAAACTAGTTGATTAATTTGAGTAAATTAAAAAATAAATTAAGTTAGTTGTTTGTAATAAATATATATTATCTTTCCTAAAACATCTTTATTTATCAAGTTTGTTAGTTAGAATTATCATTATTAGATTATTATAAGGACTATCTTAAAAAACAATAAATAAATATAAGAGATAAAATAAATTAAAATATTGTATTTAACACTAAAATAAAAATTAAACAAAATTTTATATTAAAAACTGAAGGTGATACTTGTACAAATAACATTTGTTTTCGCCCATTCAACCACTACCACCCCCCAAAATGGACGGGCAGAATTGATACCCTGTCACCATCCCAAACTTACTTGTCCAGTTTAATATAAAACATTAAAAATAAGAAATAAAAATTATAGTTGGAATTAAAAAAATTTATTAAAAAGTTATTTAATATGAATACCAAATGGGACCATTAGATCTAGATCTGGTTCAGATTTTTTTTTCATTTTTTAAATAATTAATTTGATGAGTATATTTCAAAAAAAAAAAAGAAATAATTAAAACTATTAAATTTAAACTGTCCAGATTTAATCTAGACAATTTAGATTGCTTATCAAGTGATAAGCGCTCTCCAAAACTGGGTTCATTTTTAAACAAACGAAAGTTCAACTTTATTCTATAACTACTTTAAACTCTTAATTGCAGGACTTATTTTATTACAAGAATCAGTTTCAGTACTCATAGCTATAATGAATACTATGATACTTATCGTTATGGTAAAATTCATATCATTTAGATATAGTTTTAATGGTCTAGATTTAAAATTTTTAATTAATAATTTTTAAATAAAAAATTATTTTTAAAAACTTATAAAAGATTATATTTATTTTGGATTATTTACTTGTTAAAGAAAAATTTTTTTAAAGCAAAGATATAAAAAATTAAATCTCAATCATTCATATTAAATTTAAATAATTAAAATTTGATGAGTATCATGATACTTATTATTATAATGAGTATCAAAACTGATCCTATTTTTAGAACTCAAGGAAAAGACCCCTTACAACTCGGGCTCGCATTAAGGGCCTGTTTGGTTTGAGGGGAGGGAGGGGTAGGGGAGGGAGGTTTCATCTTCACCTTATTTGGTTTGATTAAAAAGGAGGGGAGGGGAGGATATTTAATGATCCCTTGTTTGGTTCAAGGAGGGGAGGGGAGGGATAGTAATAATCAATTTATCATTTGACTCTTATATATTAGTTTATGTTTTTTATTGATATATTATATAAATTAATTTACATCTTAACTTAAATCATATAATTTAATAAAAATTCAATCTTATCATGTTAATATGTGTATTAAAAAATTGGTACAGTAATTTTTTATTCTAATTAATATAATAATATATTTAAAATAATCAAATTAACAAATTTTATATGCTCTAAAAAAATGAAATTTTATTCTCTTTAGGCTATCTTTTTTTCCAGCTTTAAAATATATTTAATAAATAATATATTTATAAAAAACAATTAATTTTATAATATTACAATTTTTTATTTAAGTAATTTTTTATTTTTAAACAATTTTTATAATATATTTTTAATTATAATAATGTATATATTTTTTATTTTTTTACTTAGGATAATATATTTTTTATTTGAAATAAATATTATAATAATATATTTTATGGGTAGAAGTGAAATGTTAAAAAAAACTATAAGGACATAATGGTCTAAAATTTTGGCTCCCCTCCAAAAACCTCCAATTTGGAGGGAAGCCAAAATGGGAGGAGGGAGGGGAGAGGAGGGGACATTTTAACTTCCCTTTCTTTCAGAATTTTTAACTAAATGAGGGGAGGGGTTCATTTCCTCTCTCCTCCCCTCCAACCAAACAAACCCTTAAAGCAGACGGGCCTTATGGGGAGGGAGGGAGGGTCGTTATTTTTATTCCTCCCCACGCCCGGTTGGGCCTGAGCGTAAGTAAACCTAACGTGTTAAGCTCAATGCGCCATGTCCCGTTCTGAAAACGAAAAAGTAATAAGAGAAAAAAGGCGTGGAGTTTTATTGCTCAAATTTTCTACACTGTACAGCAAATATCTTGATAAAATTCTTTTTAAAAAAAACAGACATATTGTTTATGATCTCTTGTCTTAATTATAAGATCTTATTTTATAAATGAGGTCTCATAATTAGGATAGAAGGTAGTATTTGATTTTTTGCATACAGATTTTCAGTCCCTGATTAGGGGTAGCTAGTTGAACCTAATTAATCACAGGAGTCTAATTCGACTTTTCTACGCAAGGAGATTTCGTGTCGAAAGCTCATATAATGGGCTCGTTTGCGTACCCGCTTAACCTAGATCTGCCTCTTCGCAAGTCTACCAGGCCACTCAAACTCACGAGCGAGTCTTGAGCTACCCATGTGATCGGACTATCGTCATCAACACAACCTTCTCTCCAACTAAAACCTTCTGCGCAAATTGCTGCTAATCTCAACAATGATTAATCGGACAAATCATAAAAGAAGCAGGCCGTCCACCCTCTACACATGATGGTTGGATACGTTCATTCCATTAGTTTTTAACTAGAAAACGCGATTTAATTATTTAACGATGTACTAATTTAGTGTAAAAATATATATTCAAAGGCCACGAAGAAAATGACTAATATTGCTGGCAAAAGCACGAGTCTGATGAGGCCTTATGCTTCGAGACCTTGAAGGCCTGAAACCAGAAGGTAACGCGCGGTCCGTACTTAATGTGAAGGAAAATGAACCATCTATCAGATGGCATCGGAGGAAGAAGAGAGAGGGTAATGAGCAGAGCCAAAGGCTTTGATATGGTCCTTAAGCGACCTCTTGTGTTTAAAGTCAGAGCCACAGACACAAAGCCATCGCTTGCCACAATTTTTCTCGTGAGTTCTCCAGTCGCCCTTCACCGCCAATGTCTTGCCACACCTGCGACACATAGAGGGCTTGCTTCCGTGCTTCCTCTTGTAATGCGTCTGCAGCGTCCTAAAGTCCTTCAGAGGCTTTGCCCTCGGGTGCTCTATGTTGTTCCTGCATCCTCTCGCGCAGCAATAGCATGGGATGTCCAACAACGGCCTCGGATGTGTTCTTTTCAGCGACTCTGGTCCTCTTCGGTACTGTGATCCATGTCCCCACATATGCATCTATTTTTCCTCAATTCAATTCCCCACCATTTTCATCAGTAGTCGATCAGCAATATAATTCTACTAGAACATATAATCGAGCTTCTACTCAGCACTCTAACGTTTAGACCTAGCTACATATATATGTGCTTGCCAAGGAACATGTCATTTCCTCTATTCTAATCTTTATAACAGCTCAAATTATACATGTGTTTGTTTATATATATATATATATATATGATTCAAGGAACGTTACTGTACCTGGAGATTGTTGTAGCGGTTGAAGGTTTTGAGGCAGACGGGACAAGAGAAATGACTGAATCCGATGAGGATTTGTTCTTGGGTTGGTATCCAGTAATTGCCAGGTACTTGGACTTCACTGATAGCTCCGTTTGGACCTGCAGAATCAGTACCGGAATTATGGGGGAGTCCTATGTGTAGGGCTACCGTAACGTCCTCCTCTCCAGCATCATCACGAGTCGTAGGGTTAGGTTTTGAGCTAAATGGAGTTGAACCAAGGAAGCTGCTCAGTAGAGGTAGGGGCTGAAGCTGATGACTCGCCCGGTTCATGGCAGGCAAAAGTTTGGAGTCAGTAGGATCATCACGTGAAGAAGGGAGGCAATAAGACATACATATTGGATCTGAGGGCTCCATCACCTAGCTATATTATCCTCTCTGATTTTATTAGAGCAGTGCATGTTGGAGCTTATAAGAATCTGGGGGTTTTATAGCGAATACACCCTCACACCGGATAGATTGGAAGCTAATGAAACTTTGGGATGGAGGAGAAGTGAGAGGGAAAATAGGGTAATGATAGGGGCTGGAGAATATTACAGTTGAGTGAAAAGAGCCTTTTATTGAGAGGCTCATTATTTCCTCCTGTATGTCCTCTTTTTCAGTTTTAGGCTTGGATAGGATATACCTTAAATTCCGTGGCCCGCCTCTCCCAAACTTAGCATCAATTCCAGAGCAGTGGATTTCAAATCTAGGGCAACTTAGTTTTATTTCTAGTTAGCTCCCAACACTCAACATTCTCATTCATTACTGGGAGCATGCTCAATTTCATTTCTATTTCAGGTTTTGCAACATATAGAGAGATTCTTTCATTAATGTCTAGTGTTTCCAACATTGTATCCCTCATTATTCCATCCATCAGTCTTTTATAACGATTGCAGTTTACATATATGACAACTCTAAATTCTCGTTATAAAATGAAAAATCATTAATACTCAACAATCTAAGAGAAGTTGAGTCAATAAATTGATGTACATTCCATTTTACTTGCATCATGTATCTTATATATGAAATGAATAACGTATAATATTGTATCGGTGAGTCCAGGAACGTTACTCGATCATCAATACATAATAAATAATATTTCCACATTTGTGAAGATACGTATACTTAAATGGTCGCGTTAACTTCCTCAGACTGCCTTTCTGCTAACTACTGGCCGGCACTCCGCAGTATGAAAAGGTTACCAGTGGAGCTCAGCGTAATCATTGGGCTTTAGGGTTAGTTATTTTGAAGGGGAAAAACTCTAACTCGGCCCAATCCAACATACAAAATAGAGCTGAAATGTAAGAATTTCAGATGATAACTCCTTGGAAGCCTTGGATGGCCGAAAATTAAACGGAAAAAAGAACCTTTTAAATCATAAGTTTAGATCATGGGGATGCCAATGAGTCTCCTCGAGGAAATATCTGATTAAAGGCTGGATGAGTTCATAGACTCCGGTAAGAGCTATATAAATTGGCTCGAAGCTTCTTGTTGAGGACAATGCCTTTCTTATTCATTTGCTCATGGTACAATGTTGATGCAAGACTTAGCTCTCATATAATGGGATAATAATGGAACTTAAAAATGGAATTGAATAATTAGTAAGAATAATTTTAAGGTCTTCGAAAAGAAGGGAAAGGGGATGAATTAGGAACTCTGCACGGAGTTGTTGATTAGTCCATCTGTTGAGCGCGAGAGCTGTGGGAAGCACATGCGATCTGCGAAAACCATTATTGCCTAAAGCTACAACTTTGGACCCCCCAAAAAAAAAGAAAGATATATTACGGGAAGAGATGACGAAGAATTAATGTGTGATGAAACTGTGAAGATTATACAGTTGAAACTTAACTTTCAGCAGGTGTCTATATTTATTAGTTTTTCCCTTGGCTATTCGGACTTTCCGATGAAGCTGCCGTAACTACTCCAGCTGCGGTCTCGGAGGAAGTACGCTGCTGAGTCTGTGACTCTGAATCTGAGACCACGAATCATAATAAACAGTAATCAAATTAGAATAACTTAAAAATGTGTTTGATCTCGAAACCTAGCTATACTTGTCCAAATAAACCGCCTCGTAAACTAAAATTCTTGCACATATGATAAACAAAAGGACGAAGAAAGAAATTAGGTTTATAAATATGGTTTCGGTTTTTGAGCTGTGTGGGTTTAAAAAACTTACAGCGGTCAGAAGCAAGTAACATGCATTGTGGGCCAATGAGTGGGAAGACCACTTGACTGCATCTAAAAAGAAATAACCACTCTATTTGGTACTGATATAAACCACATGCATTCACTGCTACTTTACACATTAGCTATGACCCTTCTTCCACTGTCATTGACCCACTTTACATTATAAGTTTGATGCCACAACCGAGACAGCTCATTCACATGGGGTTGGGATTGCCCATGTGGACCCCCCACCTTCCCCACATGTCAAACCCAAACCACAATATATATTATGTGTCAGTAAGTGCATCAAAGACCCCCCCACCCTTCACTCCATTGCGTACGTTGATTAAGGTGTCTGCATATATGGTCTTATCATATGTAATTAATAATGGAGAACTAAAAGTGATGGGAAAGGTGAAAACTAAAAGGGAAGGGAATGGTACGTACCAGTAGAGGAAGGGAAGGGCTGCCTCAACAGTGTGGGTTGTCGAGGGGTACGATAAGCGGAGAACGAGAGATCCATGGGTGGGGGTGCGGGTGAGGGTGAAGGGTAAGGGTAGTAGAGATAGGATGGGGGTCCAGGTGTCAGGCGATGAGGCTGGGGCGTAGAATAAGAGGGCCTGGGTGGCTGCACAGAATACCCATAGTAATACGGGGAACTCACGCCCGATGAAGAAGCTCCATACATTTGCTGGTAGTATTGCGGCTGCTGAATCTGGGGGTTGTACAATGCCGCCTGTGCTCATAACGCCAATCATACGTTGCTACTGTTACTACTTTCACATCATTGAAAATAGAAACACTACAAAGTTGCTAATTCCACGGGGAGATGGAGAAAGAGAGAAAGATGCTTACTTGGTGGTACCCGTAATCAGCAGAGTAGGGAGAGTAGCTGCAAAAAAGAGACATTGAAAAGAATCCAGTGTGAGAAAATTTGACAAGAGTCTGCCAATTTTACTTGCATTATTGAAGCAATGACTCAAATATGGTATGCTTCTGTTGCAATACCGGTGACGTTGGTTCCCTAATTGAATGCATTCAGTTAAGTCGCCTTCTTATTATGGCATGCATCCCTTTGCTGAAGTTAATGATGTACTACTTCAGCGATGTCATTGATGGTCATATTTCTCATTTATTTGATCCTATATATACAAAATGCATTACTTCATTTGAAAATAGAAGCAGTTTGATTAATGGATGGACTGAAAGCAAAGGAAGGATGAGAAATGTATGCTTTTTTAAGAACAATAAAAAGCAGTTTGAAGGTATTAAAAGTTTTTAATCTAATTCCCCAGCGCGTGTGTCTGCTAATTTCTTCGTTTGTCTTCTTGCTTTTTAACTGTATTTTGTTTTACCAACTCGATGCATTCATTAGAAAACAATAACACCGCTGGTGAGAAAATGACTTGATGGTACAGAACAGTACTGTGAGAGCCGAGGGTGAAGAAAAATATAAAGAAAATAAATTACTGCTGGACCACTACGATTCTTGCCACGGATCGCATACCCGTTATTTGATCTGTAGTAGCCATCAGTATCGCCTGCATTTTTACTGATTACCATATATGAAATATCAATACTTTTATATACTACCAAAACAAACTTGTTTAAAAGATAAGGTGACAGAAAAATCAATTTATCTAAGAGACACAATTGATTTCGTGCATCAATCAGCTGATCTTGGCATAAAGGGAAGGCATGCTAGAGAGAGGGGATAATGATAAGGAAAGAGGCTAAGGGAAATAATGATGCATGGTGATAGAATTAGAAACCAAGAAATATTGCGAGATGAAGAGAGGATTAATGGTGATTTTGTAAAAAGGAGAGGGAGCTTCAGCCTTCAATTAATTTCGTACTTGGTATTACGATATTGAGGCTGACACTGATACCTACTGTAATTGGAGGGGGGAGCAGTCAAGCGTCATAGGTCGACAGCAATGTGTGTGCGTCTGAGCGTCTATATGCAGTTCTCAATTAATAGCATGGACCACTTCCTTTGACTGCGAGTGTTATGGATAATTAATACCTCCACTAAATGAACAAAGCTAACTCTACTCACCCATATGGCGGGTACATCAGCCCAGGCCCCGCCGCCGGAGGAGGCGGCGGCGGCGGCGGTGCTGCTGCTGCCGGAGCGCCACCGTATGATGCTGCACTCTGTGACGTGCTTCCGCCATGAAATGTATTCCTCCCTGCATTACCACCTAGCATCGTCATTCCAATAGCTGCAGTCTCAGTTTCAATTTTAACAGTAATAACTCTGGAATCCATAGTTCAAACAGTATAACAAATAGAAGGACATAGAATTGACAACCTCGGGGTGGGGAAGGTCGAGGCCGTCCCAGAGAAGCAATATTACAGTTGGATCTTCTTCCATCTATTATTGGGTTTGGATCAGCACAAGCTCTTCTGGCTGATTCTGGATCACGGAATGTTACCTGCTCATGAAAAAGATGAATACAAGAGCTAAAATCTTACAGCATATGCGCAGTCGCAGGTTGGGCAAAAAAGCTTGGTGTTCAAGGCAGAGAAGGAGAGGGGGGGAAGAGAGAGACATACGAATCCATAGCCTTTAGATTTTCCTGTATTCTTGTCGGTGATTATAACAGCCTCGAGAATGTCTCCGAACTGCTCGAAATATTTACGCATTTCTTCAGTGGGAGTCTCCCAAGCGAGTCCTCCGACAAACACTTTGGTGAATGTTGTGTCGCCGAACTGTGATCGGTAATGCGGGTAAGCCATGGCATCAAATTAACAAAAGGTTGTACTTGTTTATGCATCAAGACTTGGCCTATCACTCCTCAAATCCTAAGCCTTTTTATCTTCCACTTCTCTCTGCCATTCCCTTGTAGAGTTACAGTAGTATCTGCTTGCAGCTCTATATATGCCTCCACACCCCCTCAAACTCTTTCTTTTTTACAGCACAAGAATCATTCAGGAGCCACAGAAAAAGAGGTGGGTATGGTTTATGACGATGTGTTGAGTTATAATGTTATTATTTGATGGTTGTTTGGAACAGAGAAGTTGGTTAATTATAAAAACAAAATATATATAATAAGGATTTTTTTAAAATATATAAAAAAAGCAAATAAAATATAAAAAAGGAACGGGGGAAGTGGAGGAGAGAGAGAGAGATCTGACAGCTGCAAACGCTAATTTGCTGGCCAGGAGGGAGGGAAGAGATAGTGGGCTTTGTAGCATGGAGTGACAGCTGCGTTACTATCTCACTTGAAGTGTGTCCTCTCTGTCTCTGCATTAATATACTCTCCCACCCTCCAATCAATTCTTCCGTTTTCTTCATTCTCCTTTCTCCACCCAACTCCTCTTATTTGCTTGTCCTTTTTCTCTTCTCTTATACTGCTCCGCCATTGCTTCTCCTTCTGAGTCCCAACCTTGCCCCCACACCACCAAATGACTTCGTCTATCTTTTTCTTTTCAGCATCCGGCCGTGTCATTTGCCTACTCACTTATTTTAACAACAGAAGAAATTCGTTTTCTGTCAAAGAAAAGTTCGATGTACGACATATAATAAATGTCAAGGTTTCATGGTAGAGTTTGCAGCTTTGGTTTTCAGATAACGTCCTTGTTGGTGTAAAATCTGTCATTAGTGTTAAAACGGGCTTCCTTTCCATTTGACCTCTTCAATTCTCCAAAACCGTTGCATTTGCTAGTTAATATTTGTTTATGTATGTGTGTTCTACTAGGTGATGCATTGGACCAGCGACTATTACACCTTGTTCCTCGTTCTGTCCGGACCAAATATATTACACCCGCAGGACCCCACGTTCCTAAACCTAAATCCGCTAATCCTAGACCGTTACATGGCCATCTCCAAAGTTAAGCAGAACCAAAACGGAATATATATTGAGTTGTTAATTAGTGGGCGAAGATAGAAAATCATGTGCAAGGAAACCATTGGACGGCTGCAAGCGATGAAAACAAAAGTAAGGACGGTTGATGACTTATATCCATCGCCATCCTATCATTCCTCGGTCAATCGTCACATTAAGAATTGTTTAACATCAAGCTAATCTTCCACTCCTAATTATGAATGGTAGACCATTATCTCGTCCATGAGCCCACAAGGACGAGAACCACACACACAAGTATCCTGACTTTTCGATAATGATTCGTCCACTGCCTTTGGTCGCTCCCATGTTATGGATCTTGGCCTTCATGATCCTATAGCTAATAGCTTTCTCTGACTTTTTGCAAATGAGCCAGAACAGAACAGGGCAACACATTCACAGAGAGAGAGGGAAGGAAAGGGAAGAAAGTCAATAATCAATATCTGGCTTGTTGCCAGCGTTAGGGACGAGGAGACAGCTAGAAGGACCTTCTGGTTGGATGTTAAAAAAAAAAAAAAAATCCTGGATTATAAAAGATATGCTAGCTAGTCCGTGAACTGGCAGTTCTCTCCACGTGGGGTCTTATTTTTGTATGTTGGAGAACTATGAGCTGGATTTCCATCTACTTCCTATATGCTTGAAGCCATTCTAGGACACACTGATGCATTATAAATGACCCCCTTCTCTCTCTCTCGAGTCCCAACCTGGCTTTCATCAACCCACATCCACCCCTCCATACCCATTTACAGCTAACGCCATTTGTGCTCTCAAATACCTGTTCCCTCACCCACTAATCTTTTCCTTCACTGTAGAGTACATAAACCATTGCTTCATGATCCTTTTAGACCTCCTATTTTGGGCTTCATCTTTCTTTCCTGCAACACCACAAGACACGTTTCATCTTTTAGACAGTGACACCATGACAAACTTTCCAGTGATAAGACCCAAAAAAACTAAACCTCTTGATTCATTAATAGATTCACCTTTCACAATCCTATCACTGACGTCATTTTTTTCCTGATTGGCTTTGATAACCCAACCAGATAAGGATGTTGCAATCAGCCAAAGCAAGAATGAGTGGAAAGAATCTTGATAATAGTGTTCGAGCATTGATTACTAATGAAGAACTTGCCGAGAGATTTTCAGCTCGAGAAGACATCTAACTTTGTTGGGATCGATCGCATTCAAGCTTATTGCATGTGGAAAATTAATTGGGCTGGCGCTAGGCAAATGAAGGGTGTGTATTTCATGATTGCAAGAACGACTAATTAAATTAGAGAGGACTATTTCAGAGAGGTTTGGCGAACAGCCAAAATCAAGATAACAGTCCAAAGCGGGTTCATTTATTGATACTTCCTTTGCGCTGTAACAACACAAAGCGTGTGAAGAGCCTACATCTGTTTGATCTGCCTTGGAAACTTGGAGGACCTACCAGATAGGACGGGACATAGGAGCTAAAAATACGACCTACATGTCTTTTGAACGTTTATCATGATCAAGGGAAATCATTACATCATAACTCTGTAGCCACAATATTGAACTCAATAATTGGTAAAAGGTTCGATCTCTCCGGTCTCCACACGGTGCAATCTGTCAGGGTATCGATGTAAATCGGTATTCGTCGCATGGATGAAAGTAAAAGCTGCGGCATCAAAAGGTTCTTCGATATTTGTACGGAGAAACCTCTGTGCAAAGTGAAACCCGGTTTTCTCTGCCCAATCACTGTGAGATCGGCAAAATGATCCTCTCTGCTCTCTCGCCGAGCCAATGGGCGCCAGCAAGAATCGACTACACTTGTAATTTAGAGATCCCGTATCAATATTTTGTCCAACTATGGTGTCCATACTTACACAACCTAGAATCTAATTTGAGATTCTCAATCCATCTTTCAAGCGATATGACAGATTCCCAACAAAAATAAAGGAAGGAAATTATATATATGTGTTGTGATCTATTGCTTGCTTAGGCCTAAACGCTTCAACACAAAACTAAAAAATTGGGCCGGATGAAAGTCCATGGTTCAAAATTCTGCTAAATGGAAAAACAAGGTTCGCCATCATTTCGCTAAGAAAAATACATCTCCCACAAGACAAGAAAAATTCTGATCATCCCTTATGTTCATGATGCAAGAACATGACTCGAAAGTTGAGAATAAGTGACCCAAAGAAAAAAAGAAAGAAAAACATGAAGAATGAAGTGAGGCAGCAGTCCAGGTTAAAAAAGGGTGAAAAGAGTGAAAGTTGTCACCAGGATTGTGCCTTTTAATTCTGTGTTCTGAGGCATTGATTGTCTATGATCAAATTAATACAGATTTCAGAACATAAGAAAAACCGAGCTCTAAATGTTGATAGCAGTAAGTTGCATTATCTAACACACTGAAACATGGGGTGAAAAGAGTGAAAATTAAAAGGCCCCTACTGGCCAAGGAACTCATCCCTGCAACAATTAGCTGGTGTTGAGCATCGAAGTTTGACGATTTCTTAAACCATATCAGCTCACCATAAGCGATCAGTAGTAAAGTCTAATGAATGCTAGATTATTGAAAAGCCAAGTTACAAAAGCGCAACGGGGGTGGAGACTCAGGGGCTGACTGACAAAGGAAAGTGATCACTGACGTTTATGATTCGTATTTACAAAACAAAATGATGTCTACTATGTTAGAAAATAAATGCAAGCACAAAAATAGCAAAGACGGCATGCAATGAATAAGAGCAAACAGGACAGCAATAGGAATTTTGACACATGCATAAAACAAGACAACAATAGGAATTTTGACACATGCACATAACCCAACAGACACAAAAGTAGCAACCAGAAAAATCTGTGATGAACTGACCGATATAGCAGTAAATCAACATTGCCATGAACCAACATTCCATCTCAGTTTTTTAGTTATCTTTGTCAGGTTAAAGCTAACCCCTGATATATTCTAACATGAAACCCAGCAAGAACAAAACAGATCAGTGTCATGATAAATGGCTTTATAATCTAGATAGAGGCACCATCACCCTAGTCCAAAGTAAAATAGCAAGGTAGACATTAGTTAGTTAATTTCTAAATCAAAAGGGAAAAAAAAAATTAAATATTGCCAAGAATATTCAACCAACTTCTCTACATTTCTCTCTTTCATTTCCCCCTTTTCCTCTGGGCTCTAGATGCTCTTTGGGCCATCAGCTTTCTTAGCTTTCTTGGCCGCTGTTGCCTGCGAATATAAGAAAGTCCCAAGTATAGCAATGGCAGACCCCAGAGCATTAAGAGGCCTAACTGGATTCCTGAACACCAAAACGGAAGATACAATCACCACCACTCTCTTCATTGTGTTACCAACTGAGAAAGTCAATGGGCTGATTTCATCCAGGGCCTGATAAGACGATTGATTATACAGATGGTAGAACAACCCAGAAAGCAGAACCCATATATAAAATGTGGATGGTTTGCCTATAGCTTCTATTGCCCGGTAATACCCCGGAATCCACTGAGATCCTTCAACCGCTATAGCCACTGGAAACAAGTAAAGCAATGAAATAATGCTAATCCAGCCATACAAATTCAACCCATCGACTTCCTTGAAATTCTGCAAACTTCGTTTAGAATATATGTTCCTCAATACGAAACCAACATTACTTATCATGGCCCCCCACAATCCTTGTACATTGAAAGACACCTCAGTAACAGCAGCCAGAGAACAACCAAGCACGATAGGAAGAATGGACAGCCAAACCTGTACGGGGTATTTATCACCAAGGAACGAAGAGAAGACCACAGAGAAAACTGGTTCTGCAGATTTGATGACATGGGTGAAGGAAACAGCCACCTTGGAAAATGAAACGCAAGCTGAGATGTGGCCTATTGTGTGAAATAAAGCAGGACCAAGGAGAGCAACGATGAAAGATTTTGAGATTTTCGGGCATTGTTGGAGCTTCAAGGACCAAAGCACGAGCATCCAAACGGACCCGACGAAGAGTTGGAAGGAAGCAAGAAGCCATGGGAATGGGAAAATGTTTAACGCTTTCTTGTTGTAAATATTGAAGACAATGTTTTGGAAGTACCATAACCCAAAAACAAAAGCAAGTTTCAAGGACTTGGCCTTTGGATTCGGAGCTGCACTTTCTCCTTCAGGATTGACATCAGACGCTGCTCTAACGATTTGGTATCTGGATTTCGCAGAAAAACCCGACGGTTTAGCGAAGGCTTTATTCACCAGGCTTAAAGTAGTGATTGAATCTTGGATCTGAGATGTGGGTCGCAAAGGAATTCCCCCTGGGAAGCCATGGAAATCGGTTGAGACGGAAATTCTGGAACCAGCTTCATGAAGCCGAGAAGTGGTTCTACAGCACTGGAGGTTCTTATGGGCGTGAAACCTGGTGAGAAGATTTGGATGGAAAAGCGAAGATGCATTCACGGAAGATTGGTGGTTGGATTTGACGAAAGTGACAGAGGGTGAGGGAATAACATTCAAAGAAAGCATTCTTCGCTGCCCGGCTTCGTGCGGTGGCGCAAAAAAGAAAACAGAGATCCTGAATTGAAAAGGGGGGCAGATGATTTGAAGTTACAGGGGCCGCTCGTCACAGTCACAGATGACGCTCCATTTCCACACGCTATTTACATGATAGGCCCTCCAAAATTGTATCCTAAAATTCCCAAGCTCCTTGAAAACGAATGCCCAATAAATGCATAGTCAAATGATGACTCCCGCAACTGAAGAAGCAGTTTCAGAAGATAGATTGCCCAAGGTTTTTCACTGCCATGCCCCTGTAGGTTGGATAACACGCAGGGTTCTCGGATGATCGATCCGGATGTGTCAGGACGCCTACGTCTGGGCTTTTAGGCCCACAAGCTACCTTCATCCGATTCTGCTGACCTTTTTTGTAGGTCGGGCTTTGAATTCGTTACCTATGTCTACAGTGTACTTTGACGGCTATCAACTCCTTTCCAGCTTCTTTTATGTGAAAAGAAAAGGGTTGACATTTTTCGCGAGTCCAAGTCCAATTCATTCCTCGGAGCGAATTACCCAGATCCTAGCATGTTTCATATAATATATTTTGCAGGTCAAACAGCATCATGGGGTGGTGGCGCAGTTGGCTAGCGCGTAGGTCTCATAGCTTCTGAGTGATCCTGAGGTCGAGAGTTCGAGCCTCTCTCACCCCAATCAATTTCTTTTAGAATTTGTTTTTCATATTGATTGATGGTTATTTGGATTTCCCGTCTGACCTACCCAGTTGGGGTTGGCCATGATCTTTTTAATCGAAGCAACAGCAAGTGCATTAACAGGGACGTAACGACATCTCATAAAGGTAGATTTTATACGTACGTATGCGTGCATGTGTGTGTTATCGGCAACAAATTTAATTAGGTGGCTGATGAGATTTTCTGTAAATAATACAGTCGGTTTTGGACACGCGACAGAATCGACATTAATGAGTTGAAATTGGTGGTTGGATTATTTAGTGATTGTTAAAATGTAAAACTATGTGCACGTGACGAATGATTCATCGTGGACTCACACAACCCCTTGTATAATAGTTGAATCCCGCGGGTTCTTTGCTTTTGAAGGGTAAAGCTCAGCGAATCAGAGATGGTGCTGGAGAATAGAGAGCTGAAGCTACCAGTCAGATGCGCCATACTTATGGATGAAGCTGCATTTATTAAAACCCATTCCAGCGTCGTGTTATCATGTGACGCTGCAGATGCCTCCTCCCTATTCACATGCTTCCTAAATAATTGAGTTGCTCAAACACTACAATCCTCAGTATCACATCCATCAACATCCCTCAGAGACAGCCCCTTTGGCCCAAAATTATTGCGACTTGTGAGGGTCTTCTTCTACGTTGCCTATCTCCAACTCTGTCGGTCACATCGTTCACATAATTTGCCTTCATTAACCACCCAGCATGCATTGTTCCGGTGAGTTTTAACAGCTGAGAATTCCACCAATCACGAAAGGAGTGACCTTTAATAAGCACGGCACATGGGAGCGGAGGGGTCCCCATGCAATGATTCATTTTGCTGACAAACCCCTCATGCGTAAAAACTTTTGCATCCGTCGTTCAAAATAATATTGAATAATATTAAATATAAAATAAGAATTGGGGCTGGCCCATTAATTCATCAAGACCGTACCCAACACTTCGCCCTTCCATGGCTGTTGCTCTTCATCACGTAATTGTAACTGACGGGTTGCTTCGGGCCGACGAATGGCGGAAATTGAGTTTGAGAATGACGTGACTTTATTCTCTGCCAGTACTTTCATCCCATGTGTGCGCTCTTCAGTCTAAACGTCAGACATTGATTTGCTGATTTTTTTTTTTTGTCTTTCTTAGAATGTGCGTGATACAGAGGGTCGAACACTAAAATTAATTGCTATGAAAATACATAATAATTATTTTACATGCAGGTTAAAAAAAGTCCAGGAGCTTAGCCCGAGCCCCGAGAGAATCCGTCCTATTTTGTTGAACCGTGGGATAAAAAATTAACTGAAGGGGTGTTTGGTAACCCTCAAAAGTGTTTCTCAAAAGCATTTTTCACAAAACGAGGCAAACTCCTCCATATATTTACTTCATAAATAGTAAAAACACTTCTGAAACTATAGTTTGGTTTCTATCTAAACATCCCATAAATCAGTCTAATAAATAATAAACGTCAGTCAGTAAGTAATATTGAGTAGATAAGCTAAATTTGTATTGTCTTGTCAAACCCTCCTCCGTTAATTGCTCTTCACTGGCTATCTTTTCCCATCTACTTTCACTCGGCAGTAGTCCACTGATCATTTTCCCCTCAGCGTTCACTTCATTGAAAAGAACAGGAGAAGCTTGTAAGACATGGGATCCGGATACAAGGCGGATGTGCAAAACTAAACTTTAACTAGTCAAACCTGAACAATGACCATTTAAGGTGCAGGATTACTAAACTCACGAGAAAGTTTTGAGCTAGACGTGTCAGATTTGAAATGCGTTCCATTGTTCACTTAATCGGTGAATGTACAGGGACAACATCGTATAGTCCGGCTGGATCAGGATCCGCCCGCCACTTGCCCACTGTGCACTCTTGTCAATGCCTTTTTTGCCCCAACACAGTCCGCCTTTTTTGTTCCCCTGCTTTTTCAACCAATGCCGTGGCTTCAATTATTCAATCGCATTTTTGGAAAGAAATAAGGTAGCTGACTATCGTGTCAACCTCCAATCCTCCATCTTAATCCATTGCCTTTCCGCCTCTAATGTTCCAAATGGTACAATCATCATAGCACCGTCTGCTTGACTGTTGCCTTTTCCCGGTCACGCAGTTTTCATTTTCTTGGCCATATCCCATGTGAAATTTTGGACGAGGAATTACTCCTGCAAAATGACAAAAAAAGGTTGGTAGTTTGTCATCTGGACTTTTTCTTTTCCCCTAAGCAATCATGGCATTTCATCACACTTTCACCCTCCTTACCCCGGGTAAATGTGACCACGGGTTAAAACTAAAACAACAACTAGAGAGAGAAACCAGATCAGGTCATCGTGTCACAAAAATAAAAAATTAGATCAGGTCAAATAAAGCAGCAGCGTTAGAGTTTGCTCTAGGAAACGACAATTCGAACTCCGCGTTTAGACCACCGTCCCCAAAAGAGCGACCACAGTAATTTGATACCTGCGGCCCCATGATACAGCACTGCCACCCAACGCACGCCCGACACGTCTCCCTTTTTGGTCCACCGACACAACAAAACGCGGCTCTACGGTGGGGCCCAGAAGAAAATAAAGATTATTCTTACCTCTAGTGCTTAAATTAACTGACTAATTTGAATTTGAGTAGAGTAGAAAAATTAATTGAGTTTGTTATTTATAATAAATAGGTATTATATTTCTTAAAATATTCTTGCTAATAATGTATATTGGCTAGAATTATCATTTAAAACATTTAACATATATAACTCTTATAAGGATTACCTTGAACAAATAAATAAATAGAAGAGATAAAATGAATTATGCTTTTATATTTAGAATCAAATTGAATCTCAAACTAACTCTTATATTATAACACCTCTGATCCTAATTATAAGAACTAGTAGACTAATTTGAGAAAATTAAGAAAGAAGTTAAGTTAGTTATTTGTAATAAAAGTGGCTTGGGGTCTTATATTTATGATCAAAATAAAAATCAAATGAGGTATTATATTAAAGACCAGAGGTAGCAGATTATTCTTGTAGTCTTATTTATAAAGAGAAAATATTTTTTTAGTCTTATTTATAAGTCATTTCATTAAATTTTTAGTATGAATGTACCATTTGTCCTTCATTTATTATAGTATAAACAATTATCTTTTTTGAAAGAGGTAAATATTAAATATAAACAAAATTAAAAAATTATTATATTTTAACAGAAAGTTAATGCAGTTTAAAATACTAAAGTTGTGTTTGGAACGAAATATTGAAAATAGGGGGTAAAAATTGGAATTGGGATTGAAAAAGCTTATTAAAAAAATATTTAGTATCAGAGATTTTTTGTTATATGGGATCAGACAAACAGGTTGAAAAATACCATGGTGGGATGTGATATTTTCAAATCCAACCTCAATAGGCTTACCTAATCTCATATAACAAGTAATTACATATATTAAATATTTTAAAATAATTTTTTAATTATAATTTTAGTCCTTATTTTTTATTTCCAATGTTTACTATCAGTCGGGATTCAAGAATGCTTCATAAATAAGTTCCTTAATCGTGGAAGTTTTTTCGTGGCCGGATTCGTCGCCAGAGCGCGCAGCAGCTTTTACGAAACTGAAAAGGAATAGAAGCATTTCAGTGCGTGAATTTTCTGTCAATTTTAATTTTGATTAATATACTAGGAATAAATACTAATACAATAAACTATCACAAATAACAGTTACATTTCCTAAATTCATTACACCGTATTAAAAATTACATAATGCAGTTAAAAAAATAAAATTGACATCTTTCACATATGGCTCTGTTTTTTTAATCGCATTCCCGCCCTTTTTACCATCAACATCCAGCGTAACGAACCTCCCTTTGTATTCCAGAAAAGGAGGGAACCGAATGACATCAACCCACCTACTTCCGTGTACAAAGTTGACAATGTAAAAATCTTTCAACAAGAAACGCGAACAAAATGGATCAATAATATCTGAAAAGGAGGGAACCGATTGATGATGAGGTTCTTGGCATACTTCTCTGCTAATTTCCAGTACATTTAATCTAATTTATTGTTTAATCAACCCCATCATTCTAACACTTCTTGGACGGTTGATACCTGATATTTCCTTGCAGCGCAGAATTTTAAGAAATATGACATGACCATCAGCAAAATTAAAACTGAGATCCCAATATGTTTTCTGATTCTGTCTAACTAGTAGAATCCAAGCTAAGGAAAGCAGATTCAGGCCGACCCCGGCTTTTAGCAATTTTGGCAGGTTATTACACTGCCCCCCGCCTATTGATTCACGCTTAATTCTCCCGAACCGCCACAGATTTACGCAAAAATTAAATGAAGCAGACGTGAGCCCGAGCAAGTGTGAAGCTGCACCAATGACAATATACGTTTATTAAATTATGGAGTAATACGTACTACTGCACAGTTTATAAAATATGATGTGGGTCAGTGTCCGCCATTACAGCTTCAAGTCAGTTTTGCAACACAATGAAGGAAACAGCGAAACCGTCATTTTCTTTTTTAAATTTCGGT